TATCATCCCAACGAACATGAGACTCTGGGTCATCTTCATCATACCTCTTTGGTTTTTGCTCAACCCAAATCCTTCAACAGTTCTCAGAATCACTCGGAAGAAATCCTTTCAGAGTCTCATAAACGATCTCCTAGCGTCTTGTTACATGAACCATTGACTAACTCGGTGACGTTGTACAACTTCGAAAGTAAGAAGAAGTTGTTGGATTCGGTCGCTGGTGGGGTTAGCTCGAGCATGTCCAAAACCTCAACCTCGCTCGGTGGAACGTCTTCCTCAGAAAATCAAACCATCCCGAGTGCTGAAGTCAAGAACAAACAAGGCTTGGTTACTACCCCATCTGGACTCTCTCAACTCATGATGCAGCAAACTAAGCAAATGGAGCCCAAGCTTAATGGACATGAACTCACCAGTCCTCCGGGAAACCTCGTTGTCAGCAGTTTTGCCCCAGCGGTATGGCATCTGAGCGCGATGGAGGATCCCCGAATGAACACCGTCAACCGTCTCTATCAGCCTCTGCTCGGTTCCACTAGTTCCTCACAGCCATCCAAGCTACCCTCCCCCGACTCCAAGTTGGGCTACATGGTTCATCGAACTAATCACAGTGGTCAGAACTGGACCTCGTTCGCCGAGCTTGATACGTTCAGTCACTCGCTTCGGATCCTACCTCGGTCGATTTACATCTGCCATCAGTTTGATTTCTACCATTTTGCACCACTTTCTCAATTATCGTCGTCGACCTCCCATCATCATCATCATCATGCTTATCATCCATCCTCACACGAGCATAGCTTTATTGAACAATTATCTAAGGCCAATTTCGATCACATCAAGAAGAATAAGCTGGTCGTTAAACAAGAGGTACAGATCCAACCAGGTGATCTTAGCACTCACCAAGAATCAGTGGATCTCTTTGGATTAAGGGCGGTTGAAATCGATGATCATTTCGTCAATCATCATTCTACCACTGGTCCACCCGGAAGCAATGGGTCTTCGGATAGTAATAATCAGCACCATCAGATCTATGCTGAACCGTTACGGTCTGCCGTCGAGACTGTCTTGGATTCAACGATCACCTCTCCAAGAAGGAGTTCGCAAAACTTCCCTGAATTCCCTAATGGACATCCGGGAAGACGGTCAGGGCCTAGTGGAGGCAGTCAACATAATCCATTGGCCAGTTTGAAGAAATCGGTCGCTGAGAATGTGGTACCGGTCGTTGGAGTAGTCAATGAAAGGTTTCGAAAGGAGATCGAGAAGATCACCACCTCCGGGAGGGGCGTGATTGGCTCCGCCAATCGTCGTCGGATCTCGGTTGGAATGAATTATTGTAATGGGATGATGAGTCATACTCGACGGGCAGGAGGAGGAGGAGGAGGAGGTAGTGAAAGTTTTGAGGGCTCGTCGGGAGGCGAGGTGGTAGCCTATGGGAGTGAAGAAACGACTTCGGTTTCGTTTGAGGAGGACGAAGCGATCCGGATCGATCGGGAGAGCTTCTTCGACGACCAACGTCCCTCCTCCTCCTCGATGAGCTCCTTCGATACCTCTATGGACCGTCTCCCCGGCCTCTCCGACGAGACCCAGCCGGCGCCCTCCGACGAGCTCGAGCCGTCTCCGCCGGCGGCCCTGGGCGAGAATTGGGACGGCTGGACGTTCGAGGACGATGCTGAGTTGATCGGCGCTTTGCCCCCCGCTCAGAGGCTTCCCGATAAACTCCCCGACCCTTTCCTCTTCAATCCTCCCCCTCATCATCGTCATCTAACTCTTCCTCCTGTCATCCTTCCTTCCTCTACTACTACTACTACTACCGCCATTCTCCCTCCTCCTCTCACTCCTTCTTCTAAACCGTCCTCAAATCTTTCACTAGTAGAAGCTCATTCTCTGGTCAACCCTCAACCTCAGCCTGTCGAGCCTTCGACTTCTACTTCCTCTAAAGCCGATCAAGATACTGTTCTCCCTGCTTCTGAGACTCTTATCCATCCGGAGCCTCAGTCGCAATCTAAGCTTGGTGGTGATACGAAGGAGGATCGAGCTTGTGCGCTCAAGACTTCTTCGGCTTCTGCTTCTTCTGCCACTCTTCTTCCGGATCCGATCCATCCCACAAGCGTCAAATCTGCGGCTAAATCTGATCCTAAATCTGCTGCTTCTGGATCTTCGGCTGCTGGATCCTCGGCTTCTGGATCTTCGGCTTCTGGAGCTCGCTCTCGGTCTAGAAATTCTCATAAAATTAAGAACCATAATAAGTCTTAATTTATCATCATCATCTTTTTTTTTAAAAAAACTAAACTGTACAATTTACAATTACTCTTTATTATTACTCAAGTACTACTACTACTACCTGTTTTTTTTTCTCGTTCCTTTCTCTTGTCCTCTCTTCTTTTTTGTGTACTCAGTTAGTGGTCAGTTAGGGAGTCTTTTAACTTATTCTTTCCTTCCTTCTGTTTGTTTGATTATGCATAATCATTTTTTGTTTGATTGTTTGTTTATCTTGTCACAAAGAACGTTCTCATTCATTCCTTCATCCATTCAACTTTTGTTGTTGTTGTTGTTGTTCTTCTTCTTTTTTTTATATAGCAAACAAACAAAAAAAGCCAAAAAAAAACACTGAATGATCGACCATGTACTAGAAGAAGAAAACACCAAAAAAAAAAATGTTTTCCTTTTTTTTTTCTTTGTCTCAGCTGCTTTGTAGTGCTTCTGTCTTTGGTGATCAGTATAAGCATTCCATTTCTTTTGGTTTTGAACACTCATCCTTCATGTCTCTTTTTTGGTTTGCAATGTATAAAGATGTATTTTGTTTGTTTTTTGTTGTATTTGTGCGTGTTTGATGATGAATTGGATGAATTTTTTTGTTTTTTGGTTGTACTTTTGTATATGTTTGGTCCAATTGATCATCTCTATTTCCTTGTTCTTTCTTCTCTAGTCCTCCTTCTGTTTTTTTTTTTTGGATGTAAATATGTAAGAAGATACAATGTTTGCATGAGTCTGTTATAAAAAAAAGCCAAAAAAGAAAACCCAGAAAAACAAAGTGTAGAATATTCCTCTGGTATGCACTCTCTTGTTGTTGTCTCTTTTTTTTTTAGCCTTTACATTGCTGTCAATATGGTCAGCATCATCATTTTCTCCTTACGAATTCTATCAAGATCGTGTAGAACAAGCCCTTATAATCATCACCAACAATGAACTGAGGTAACCCGGGGAAATTAATCCAGCATTTGATCAGCCCAATGAGGGAGGGATCCCGTTTTACTGTTGCTGGACAAGTTTTCTTCCCCAGGGGCCAGGGCCACCATGGTTGGCCAACATTTCAATTCTGATTCCATTTGTCTTCCTCTTCTGAATTTTTGCCACTTTTGACCATTGCTTTTCTTGATTCTGCCGTGCTTTTCAGGACTTTCCATCACACTGTCACATGATTCCCTATATCCTTGTTGTTTGGCTTTCATCCCAAACCCCACTTCTCTCATTTTCTGCTTTCCAAGCCATCATCACATCTCAATTTCAGGTAGCCATCCAAACCAAATGCACTCTTTGATGTATTGTCCATTTCCATCTTTGGGGAAGCTATCAAAGCATGTCTGGTTTGCTGCACCCCATGTGGTCTGAATGAACTCAGTTCCTACTCAGCCTACTGAAATCGATTGGAATGGTTCATCTCAACACCTGTTCCAGAGTCACCCCACATGATACAGGAAGTTCACACCATGCAGCAATGAGCTTTCCAAACTACCTTGGAAAGGTTGGTTTGAAACAAGTTCTAGTGTGAGCACTGCTGCCCCTCCATTCCATGATGTTTGTCAAAGACAAAGCTTGATCCTCAATTGAGTTGTGCAGCATCATTCTGATGTGGCTACATGAGGTTACATGGCCTGGACTCTGAACCAGGGCAGGCAAGCTGTACTGCTGACTACATAATCCTTATCAAGACTATCTCTCAAATCTTGATTGTGGCTACAGAGCCCATAGACCATTTATCAGTCTTATCAGTTCAACATTCCCAAAGTCCAAAGAGATGTCTGAGTTTTTAACCTACTCCTTCTTCCACCCATTCCCAATCACCCAGCTCAACCCTCACCACAAGTCTTTAATCAGCATTCCTGGTCCAATTCAACCATGATTTTTTTATAAAGAACTGCAAGTAAGAAATTCAGTTCATCACATTTATTTCATAATGTCTGGAGCTTTACAGTCACATTTACAATGCCCACTTCCCACCCCAGTTGCGCATGTTATGACATGAATTCCCATGTCACATTTTGATAGATTTCTCACCCTATTCATATGCATAGTCTATGGATTTGTGGGTTTTGGTTTCTCACCAACCCGAGTATGTACATAGGTTTTTTCTATAAATACTGGGTTCTTAAGAAACTTATATCCCCTTGGGGGAGTTTTCTACATCTCATCTCATTATTAGGATTTGTGGCTTAACAGCACAACTTCAACAATCAGCCCAAATGCAAAAAAAAGAATCACACTGTTTTGTTATCAATTTTTTGCATGAAGTTCTTTTTTGTTTGACATGTATTTATATCCAACACTTGTTCAGATGATTCTTGGGTTTCAATTCTTTTTTTTTCATTGATGAATTTGGTCACATAGCAGGGCCATAATTTCCCAAGTCATAATAGTCATTTCCAAAACAAAAAAAAAATATAGGAAATCATGTATGAGTTTGTTTTGTTTTGGCTGACTGTTATCTTCTTTGAGGGTTTTTTTACAAATCAATTAAGGTGGTTGTTGATGAACAATTCATGAAGGTGTGTAAAATGTAACACATAGCTGTTTGCTCATGAATTTCTATAGATTCATAGATAAGCTAAAAACAGATAAGTGTGTATGTGTGTATAAGAAAAGAAAGGTGGGTTGAAGATGTACGTAACTAGAATGTGGATTGGATACAATGAAAACACTCTTATAAATTGGAGAGAAGCCCAAAAACCTAAAATATAAAAGGCTGGTTGAGTATTCATTCCAATTAAGGAGAAAAAAATACTGTGGAAAATTTGGGGTTGACAAGGCTTGGGAGAGATGTCAAGGAATCTCCCAACCACCAGATTTGTGGATTGTTGTGATCACATTAACATTATGCAATCAGGTAAGGGTTTTTTTGAGACGGCTTTCCCTTCAGCCACCAGCTTCTCTTTTTAGGAGGGAGGCATTAGCCCACAAATATTATCAATCAATCAAGATACTAGTTTTCATGAAAATAACCAATGTGTTATCATTATCACCCACTCCTTGGATTTTTGGTTGTGTTACATGCATATCTGCTTTATCTGCTGTGCTTCTAGATCAATACTGCTTGAAAATTTAGTAGCTGAAGCAAAATTTAGTAGCTGAAGTACATATCCATCATCTCAGATAGAATTTGATGGCAAAAAATGAAATTGTTCAGGTATAATGTTTTTACTTCAATTTCTGTCTTCACTCAGGGAAAGATATTACTGAGCAACACCCAATTCATTTTTCTCCGTTTTTCAATGTATGTAGCTTGCAATGATTTGACTATGCTGGCAAACAAAGATCTTTTAATTTTCAAAAAAAAATGCCATAGTTTAGTTAAAGCGGGTTCCTGATGTTGAAGATGAGCCAAAAGAAAATCCCAGAAACCAGAGTTTTGGGAATTGGGACAGAAAAGATTTCTGCTACATGGAAGCAGATCATGTTGAGTTTAAACTCGTACATTGGTGAATTTAATAGTTTTAAATTGATTTAAATCAAAATTGGACTCGCGTCATCCGCGGGCTTGAGTTTGCTTTTCAATCATCATCAATCGATCATATTTCCCTTCTTTCCCCTTCCCTCGACAATTCGCCGATCTCTTATTCGAATCAACAAAATCAACCCGAGGTCAACAAAATCTTGTTCGCTGATCAGTCAAATCGAAAACCGGTTTTACTCATCGTATACTTCAAGCACTCAGGAGGAGCTAGAATCAGCTTCTGGGCAGGTAGTTGATTTCTATCATCTTCTTTGTTTCAATTAAAATATTGACCGTTTTTTATTTATTCATTTCTCTAGGCTGTATTCGCTAAACAATCCTGTGTGTGTTAAGAGTCTACGAGTGGTATAAATCGTGTTAAGATTTTGTTATATTCTGATCTTATCTATCAGGTATTTATTACTTGTTGCATTCTTTTATTTCTTATTTTTGTGTTTGATTTCTAACATTGTTTTATTTATCAGCCTATTACTTCTATTGAGTTTCTATTCAATACTGTTTCAATAAAGCAATTAACTCTATCATTTTTACATGGTAGCGAGAGTCGTTGCTTGACAGTAAGAAACTCAAAGTAAGAATAGTCTTTAGATTTAGATCAAGCGAACGAGATGGCCGATCCTTCGGTGATTAAAAACGATTCATCAAGTGACGATGATCATCATGAAAAGGTCACATTATTGAAATTGCATCGAGACAACTGGACCGAGTGGAAGAAATTCTTCGTCAATCTTCTCGTAGGTCGTGGTCATGAAGAAATTTTCGATAAAGACTGGTGTAAGACGCATGCCAAAGAGAAGATTTTTCGCAAAAAATCAGCTCTTGCGTTTACACTCCTTCAATCATGCCTTTCTTCCGATTTGAAACCTGTTGCTGCCGGAGCCGATTCATTCTCCGAAGCGATGGAAAGTCTAGCGGAAACGTGTGGAGAACAATCTCTCATCAAACTGGGAGATAAACTATTCGCTCTCGTTACTTGTGATTACATTCCCGGGACGTCGATCGGCACTCATGTCTCAAAATTTCAAAATCTCTACAATTCTTTGAAATCAGCTGTTGCAGCAACAAAGAATAGCGAAGTGGACGATAAGATGAAAAATGATATGGATGTCGGTACTACGATGGCTGGTATATTTTTCCTCAAGAGTTTTCGACTTGATGATTCGTTGGCTTCTTTAATTCAAAATCTATATGATATCCAACCATTCACTTTCGAACGACTTGCTGCTCGAATGAATGTTGAAGATACGCGAACTGTAAAAGGCTCAGGTTCTTTAAGTGTTGTATCATCTTCAACTTCGAAAAATTTTGTCCGACCCAATAAGGATAAATTCAAGTCTCAAACTAAATTTCGAAATGTCGTTCCTACTAAGAACCGACCTAACGTAATTTCGACCTCATCAAATCGATCTTCTTCATCATCGTCGTCAACATCAAAATCTGATGTTCAAAAATTGATCAATGATCAAATTCAACTTTTGAAGAAATTACAAATTCAAGATTTGAATACAATTGAAGAATCTGATTCTGAAGATCCTGAAGAACAAGCTGGTGTAGTTGATGATCCGGATGACGTCTACGAAACTGATTTCTTTATCGAAGAAGAAGAGGAAAACTATCATATCGGATCAAATCGTTCTGACAACATTCGATGTATTTTTGATTCGGGAGCTTCAAAGTCCACTGTTTCTGACTCTCGGCTTCTTTTTGATCTGAAGCCGATCAGCAAACAAATGAAGACGTATTCTGGATCGATTGAAATTACTCACGTTGGAACGATGAAGTTCGGAAATTACGACATTTTTCCTGTCAACTATGCTCCTGCAGGAAAATGTAACTTGATTTCTATGTCTCAGCTGGAAGATCACGGATTCCGGGTTCATCATAAAAACAAATTGGTCATCATTTATATGGGTCAATCTGTCGTCGAAAAATTTTATCGAACTGGCGATCTATACGTCTCATCCGGTTCAACTTCTGATGCAAGTTTTCTCTTCGCTCTTACTGAAAAAGAATCGATGAAGGATTGGCATGTTATTCTTGGTCATCCGTCGGATGTATATGTCGATCGATTTCTCGAATTGATGAAGATTCCCAAGAACAAACGTATTGGCTCTTCTTCTCAATGTGAAGTATGTCGAATGGCTAAAATCAAACGATCGCCTCATTCCAATTCCTTGCCATCCGCGTCTTCGCCTTTCAAGATGATCCATATGGATGTTTTGCAAATTACTCCGCTATCTCGTGGTAGTTTTCAATATATTCTGGTTCTTATTGACGATTTTTCGCGTTTTAATCGGATTTATTTGATGCAAAAGAAGAGCGATTCTGAATCGAAGATTTTATCATTTCTCAATGAATTGATTAATCAGCTTTCGATAACTCCTGCTGTTCTTCACACCGATCGAGGTGGTGAGTTTGGTTCTAATAGTTTCAAAAAATTTCTTTTTGATCGTGGAATTTCTTTAGAACAAGGACCAGCTAACTCACCTCAATCCAATGGTCTAGCCGAACGTTTTAATCAAACTTTGTTGGTTAAAATACGTTGCATGCTCGCGCAATGTACGGTTCCGTTGAATTACTGGGACGAAGCCGCAAAATTTGCTTCAACACTCATCAACATGCTTCCGTCGATTTCTATCAATTGGAAATCACCAATCTCAATTCTTGTTGAACGAAACTCGATGATTGAACAAATACGTCATGTCAATACTCTTATCCCATTCGGATTAAAAGTTTTCGTACACGATCAATCACCAAAATCAAAGATTGCACCACCGTCGAAGCCGCTTCATTTCGTCGGATATGAGCCTAGGTCTGATGCTATGCGATTCTTTGATCCTTTATCTCGTCGAATTGTAATCAGTCGTGATTACTCGGTTTCAACATTCTCTTTCCCTTACAACTCTCCGAAGGCCATGATCAAGTTATCTTCGACTTTGCCCAGATCATGTGTTCTTAAAAAAGATGAATATATATCTGTACATCTTCCTGAAGATAAATCTAATTCAAAATCTTCCGGATATATCACGCTTCTTTTCAAGAATCGTCTCCATTGCCTCCATCTTTACCTCCTATTCAGTCTTCGCCTTCTCTCGAATCTACGACTAGGTCAATTACTCAACGGTCAGATCGCTCAATTTTACCGCCTTCGACTAAACGTTTCACATATGAATTGACTCCTTCAAATCAGCTCGCCTCGAAGGATATCAGCTCAAAAATAAATCCGTCAAATATTATTGAGGGATCTAGAAGAAAGGATAAGAATCTTCCGAACTTGAATGTGATGATTGAATCAGAGTTTCCTGAGCTTAATTTGAATGAATCAGTCACAATCAACGACGCTATGAATGATGATGATCACATAACCGACTGGCATGACGCAATGTCTTCTGAATTCAACTCTCTTCAAGTTAAGAATACCGGTATTCTAGCTCCGCCTCCTTCTGACGACAAAATCATAGGCGGGATGTGGTTACTTACGAGGAAGTTGAACGAATTCAAGGAAATCTGTCGTCATAAAGCTCGTTGGGTTGTTTTTGGTAATCATCAAGAACATATGTTACATTATTTTGAAACATATTCGTCGGTTGCTCGAAACGAATCCCTCAAATTGATGTTGTCGCTTGCGGTCAACAACAACTATTCAGTATTTCAATTCGATGTTGAAACCGCATTTCTGTACGGTAACATCGATGCATCAATTTACGTATCTCAGGTTCTAGGATTTGAAGATCCCGATCCAGAAAAGAAAGGTTGGGTATGGAAATTGAAGAAATCACTGTACGGTACCAAGCAAGCTCCACGTATGTGGAAACAACATCTGGTTGAAACTTTGGATCGAATTGGTTTCGTGGCTTCGGTACTCGATGATGCCTTATTTCACAATTCCGACAAGTCAATCCTACTTCATATGCATGTTGATGACGGTCTTATTGTTGGAAAATCTAGAAAATCTATCTTGGATTTTTTGAAGAATTTGCAAAATACTTACGTTTTGAAAATTAAGGAACGTCCGACTCAACATTTAGGCTACACTTTTGTCTGGAAATCCGATGGATCGTTGTACGTTCATCAAGCTGACTTTACGCATAAAATCCTCAGCGACTTCGATATGTTGGATGCGAATCCGGTCAAAGCTCCTTCGCCTTTGAATTTGCATCGTGTTATGGCTTTCGATTCTCCTCCATTTAATGTGAAGTTGATGCAACGAGCTATAGGAATGTTGAACTATCTTGCTCTTCATTCTCGGCCAGATATTGCTTTCACGGTAAACATTCTGGCGCAATTTGCTTCTAGTCCAACTCAAGCTCACTGGTCTATGGTCAAACATTTAATGCGGTATCTTGCCGGATCGAAAAATGTTGGGATAGCTTTCACTAAGGGTCCTTCGGATTCTCTGTGCGGTTGGGCTGATGCGGATTACGGTACTTCCCTTGTCACGAAGAACTCAATGTCTGGTTATGTTATAACTTTTCTTGGAAATCCGGTATCCTGGACGACTAAAAAGCAACCTGTTGTGGCGCAATCAACAACTGAAGCTGAATTCATTTCGATAAATAAGTGTGCGAAGCAGCTGCGATGGATGTCGAATTTACTCACGTCTCTTGGTATTGACATCAGCATACCAATTATTTTCAATGATAATTCTGGAGCAGTTGTAATCAGTAAAGAACCTCAGCTAAATCCCAACACTAAGCACATCGAAATTCGTTTTCAATACATTCGACAGCTCATGATCAAGAAAGTTATGAAGATTTTGCAAGTTTCAACCACTGAAATGATTGCTGATATTCTTACCAAACCGTTGGGTAAGATTAAATTAGCTGAAGCATTCAAACAATTACATTTGATCAATGTGCGTGTTTAGGAGGAGTGTTGAGTTTAAACTCGTACATTGGTGAATTTAATAGTTTTAAATTGATTTAAATCAAAATTGGACTCGCGTCATCCGCGGGCTTGAGTTTGCTTTTCAATCATCATCAATCGATCATATTTCCCTTCTTTCCCCTTCCCTCGACAATTCGCCGATCTCTTATTCAAATCAACAAAATCAACCCGAGGTCAACAAAATCTTGTTCGCTGATCAGTCAAATCGAAAACCGGTTTTACTCATCGTATACTTCAAGCACTCAGGAGGAGCTAGAATCAGCTTCTGGGCAGGTAGTTGATTTCTATCATCTTCTTTGTTTCAATTAAAATATTGACCGTTTTTTATTTATTCATTTCTCTAGGCTGTATTCGCTAAACAATCCTGTGTGTGTTAAGAGTCTACGAGTGGTATAAATCGTGTTAAGATTTTGTTATATTCTGATCTTATCTATCAGGTATTTATTACTTGTTGCATTCTTTTATTTCTTATTTTTGTGTTTGATTTCTAACATTGTTTTATTTATCAGCCTATTACTTCTATTGAGTTTCTATTCAATACTGTTTCAATAAAGCAATTAACTCTATCATTTTTACAGATCAAATGAACTCAAAAACTGTTTCATGATTGTAAAGGCTTTGAATTACATAATCAGAAGAGAACTAAATCAAGTGACTGAGATTGAAATGAGTGAATATCAACAAATTGGGCAGAAAAATGAAAGGGAATAGAATCTCATTTAAAGGCTCTTCGAACAATTTCCTTGACAATATAGAGGCCTAAAGCAATGCAACTCTAATGGAACTAAGTTGAGAAACTGAAATATAAATGAGTGAATATCAACAATTAAAATACTCAAATAAAGATGAATGAAATTTTATTTAAAAGCTTCTTGAAACACGGTCGGGGGGCATGAATAGGAATTTAACTCAAGGCTTTATTTAACGTCTTTTGGAAGTGACTTGCTACCAAGGACTTCGCCGATTAAATATCCTGAGTTAACATTACCATAAGGAACTTTGACCTGTTTGGATGAAAGATCTCCCGAGGTGAGGTAAGGGGTTCCAGGCTTTCTATTATCTTTCAAGATATTTTCAAAGAAATCTCCCATTTTGGGCATGTGTTCATAGAACATGTTCTCCATCTCGTAAAGTTTTTGATCCAGATTCATCCTCAACTCATCCTTGATAGCAACTGTTCCCAAGTATTTCTCAGCAGCTGGATCGACAGGCCGGGTAGAAAAGGACGCGTCTATGTAGGCCCTTGCGAGAGTTTTGGAATCCGCGGGCTGCTGTATAAATTTGCTTCCAGCTTCATCGTAGGCCTTTAAAGCGTCGTTGAATCGGAATGAATTCGGCTTTTCAAATGCATCGGTCGTTAGATAAGTGGCTTTGGCATCTTGGTCGAGTTGATTTAGGCGGGACTGAGCGACTCCACGGGCTGTCTTGATCAAAGTCTTCTCCTTTGTCACTTGATCCATCGATTGAAGATGATTGGCTAAGTCGCCCTCAAACTTTCCCTTCAATTTTTTCGTAAAATCTTCCTCTGTTCCGAGAGCTGCCGCAAATTCTTTTGGGGATTGGGCCTTCGAAATTAATAGTTCTCGCTGTGCTTGATCGATGATCCCTTTATCAAGGAGCTTGTCAACCAGTGGTAGGTTCACCGAGTGCGATTGGGCAGCTTCGTATCTCATTTGTTTTAACGTTGGTAAAATCTTTTCCTTGTCGAGATCAGTAGATTTTTTCACGAGTGTTTCTAAGGTGGATAGGTGTTTGTTGAACGATTTAGAACTGACGGTATACCGAAGGTTTTCTCTCCCCTCTGGCGTAAGAAACTGAAGCGATGGAAGTTGTTTATTGATGACGTGTTGATTTATTTCTTGCGGCGTCGGCGGCTTGTTGAGCTTTTGAAACACCTCAGACGGGCTCATGGGAATCTCATAGAGCTTTGCGAAAGCGTTATCGCGCCATGCATCATCTTCTTTGGCCGCTATCTTGAAGATAGATTCACTCCCGGTATCCGGCATCGAAGACTTTTTGAGAACATCGGAGATTTCAGCTTGGGCTCTATTCTCAAGGTTCCGGGTCACTGTTGGGCGGATGTCTTTCAACAGACTTTCAAATCTTTCTATCATCGAATAACGGAATAACTCTGTCTTGAAGTCTAGATCCGCAGGCAAATGTTGAAAGATGTGCGGCATGTCCAAGACCTCCAGGTCTCCTGGGGTCATTTTCTTTAACTGTACCGCCCGAGCCTTGATAAAATCGTTATTTTTGATGGAATTTTGGGCCTCTTCCATCACTAAGTCAATTGCGAAGTGCTGTCGTATGTCTTCCTCAGAAAGTTTCAATTGGTCGAAATTGGCGATCCCACTAACGACTTGTTTGTGCTCCCCCTGGAACTCGTCCACAAGGTGAGGGTGGACTTGCAGGAGATCGGATACTTCTGTCACAGCTTCTTTGGTTCCCGCGGCTTCCTCAGAGGGTATCTTGGCAATCCAAGTGCTCCTGACACCTCCATTTTCGCTCACAATGAGCTGGTATCTTTTGAGGTTTTCAAGGTATTCTGCATAGAAAGATGTTGTCGAGGCTTCTTGCGAAATTTCAGGAAGTATCGGGAATTCCCTAGTAAGACTCTTAGCCAAGTTTTCTACATTGAGTGGCTTATCAGGGCTTCGATCCAGCCCGGGCGAAACAAGGACTTTTGCGAGAGAGTCTCTTGTATCCTCTGAAAATAAATCATTGTCGGACAAATATCAGGGAGAGTTCAGATAAAACAGCAAAAATTTCAGCGAAGCCTGACTTACCAAATTTGACTATCTGTGCATTAACCTTGAGATTAGGTCTTCTCATCAGGATCTTGAAAATCGACTTGGTACTACGCAGAATACTCATGTACCGCCGGCTGAAGAAGGAATACCCATTTTAGTGTGAAGGTATCTTTATTTTTGAATTAAAAAATGTGAAAAGGGGAACTCACAAAGATTTTTTCATGACAATTAGCTTTGATTTGACTCTTGTGACCTTCCAAAATGGTAGACCAGCTATCAATATTTCTGTTTACAACATTCAAACGTGAGGATCGAAACTAAGCGTACTGTTTTCTGCCATTTGCCTTCTTTGATGGGTGAGGTAGTTACTGGCTTCGCGTGGTCAGAATTCATGAGCTCTTTGGAGTCCTGCAAAGAAAAAAGGACGAAGCACGTTGGAGAACATGTTCAATTGGCGTCTTCCAACCGATTGTCTACTTCAGAACAAATCAATCTGATCTCAAGTCGTACCTGTGTAAGAGTTGACGAAGACGAATGCCCGCCAATTTCCGTGGAGGCGGAACTGACGCCGGTTCCCATATGTTGAACCCGTTGTTCGTGAGCGACCTCGTGTGCTTTAGCAGTCCCCGAGATACTTTCAGCACCTTCAAAAATCATTGATCGAGGTTGAAGGTTATGAATGTGGAGGGCACCATAACTGGCGACCAAGCAGAGAAAGCCGATAAACGACAATTCAGATGCGATGATTCGCATGGTAAAATCTTAGGATGGCGTAAGCCCAGGAGAGAATAATGACCGACTGTGATATTAATGACTGACTATGATACTAATGACTGACTATGATGCTAATGTCTAACTGTGATAAAGAAGAAGGGAGGCAATAACTTCACAAAATCTCCATAGAAAACCCCTTTAAATATGGTAGCACTGGGTGGGTTGTAGATGACGCACGGCAGTTTGGGCACAATCGGAAGACTATTTAAGCCGTTTCACAATTGAAACGGATAACAACCACGCGAAAATACGCGCCTCATTTGTCATGAGCACCTGCACAAGTTCCATCTTCACTTTATCCGAGTTTCTTGTTTCAGGGGTCGCCCGATCATGCATCGCCCATACCCCTTGTTTCGTTTTTCGACAAGCAATGCAGCGCACACTACCTTCCAGAATTTCTCATGTCCACTTAAAAAAAGTGATTTCTTCCTGTTCTCGTTGTGCATGTATCTAGACTGACCCACATAGAGGGGAATGTACGCCCGCGGTGCCAGTATAACACAGGCAAAACTGTTTGAATGCTGACAGCGTTGGGTTTCTGGTTGATGGTAAACCTTCAAACTGATATCACACTATTGTCTAGTACTATGAAGTTCAGTCGCAATAGACATCTTCAGAGTCCATTTAACATGTGATGTAGTCAAGGCTAACCCTGTCATATGAATTTGTTGATACTGGTTCCTGACTTGATTAGGAAAAGGAAACGGAGCCGCTGTCCATACGGCCGGGAATGTCTGGTATATACCCCGTAATATGGTTTGAGATGAAGAATCAATCATTTATCAGAATTTTACATATACAGCAGGTTTCTACCAACTTCTACCATGCCAAGATCAGCACTGCCGTCAAAAACATACAAGAAATCAAACATTAACAACCTGGTACTGGTTACCGGACAGGTGCTGGCTGATTGGATCTACCACGTTCATGCCGCTGGATCTAAATTATCGCAAGTCCCTCGGTTGTAGTCGGTTTTTCGGCGCGCGAAGTTTCGCGGGGACGCCCTGGGAGAGGCTTTGTTAAGCTAGCCGCTGAATGCAGGTCCGGTTGGAAAACTCAGTCCATCATAGCCAAACAACTACTTGTATGGCCATATTCAAGTAGTTCTCAATGCTGGCAGTGTATGTTTTTCAGTGATTGGGCATTCCATATGAATGATCTTACAAGGCCACAGACATGGCTGGTGACAAATGGGTGATCCTTTGATGAATTACTTATGAAGAATAAACCAAATCACCTAGAGAAACCTTTTACAATGGGTACAAATTGGTGGGTATGATCCAAAGGTTGCTTGGAAATTTGAGAATTGGGATTGTGGATTTTGGCTGAACAACTGTATTAGGATTTCACTGGATGACTTCCCGTTGCACTTTAGAACCCTCCCAGAGTTTAATTTACTTCTATCTAAAATTTTGGCAAGAAACATTTTTTTTTCACAAGCCTTGTTGTGATGGCTGTCAAGTGTGCTGATTGTGGCTTTGATCAGTGTTAAATTAGAGCTGAAAGGAATCTAAAAACAAGACAAGGGAAAGGGCTGAAAAAGTAATACTAGACAGTCATTTAGCTCAGCAACCCACAACTGAACCACCCAAGAAGAATTAGAGAAAGTATCTATCTAGAAACATTCACTGTGATATAAAAATGATATCAAAACAATTCATTTCTCCATGTTAAAAGCTTGAATAATTGAACTAGGGAGGACTTGATTTTATTTGAAGCATCTGAAAATGAAAGCAGTGAAATAAAACAAGTAAAATAAGAAAATCAAATCAAATCAAATCAAATCAAGGGGACTGTGACCCGTATAAGACCTTTTCAAAACCATCTGGGCTGGAATTAACAGGATTTTAAGTCTGGTATCTATTTAGCTGCTTTAGCAGATTGCTGTTCTGTAAGAACTCTGGATACCAGATACCAGGAATGAATCTTGCCGAAGGGAACTTGGGCTTTTTTAGATGAAAGGTTTACGGAGGTGAGATAGGAGGCCCCGGAGTTGACATCATTTTTCAAGATGTGTTCAAAAAAATCCCCCATTTTGGGCATGTGTTCATAGAACACGTTCTCTATCTCATACAGTTTCCGATCCAATTTGAATATCAACTCTTTTTTGACAACATTGAAACCCAAGTATTTCTCGGATTGCGGATTGAAAGGGCTGGTATAAAATGCGGTATCCATGTAAGCCCTTGCAAGAGCTTTGGAATCGGTGGGTTGTTGCATGAATCTGTTGAATTCCGGATGATAGGCCTTGAGAGCCTCGTTGAATCGAAGTGAATTTGGTTTTTCAAAGGCATCTGTTGTAAGATAAGTCGCTTTAGCATCCTGATCGAGTTGATTTAGGCGTGACCGAGCGACTGCATCGGCTGCCCTGATCAATACACGCCTCCGCTCAACTTGGTCCATTGATTGAAGGTGATTGACTAGATTGGCTTCGAACGTTTCCGTCACTCTTTTCGTGAAATCTTCATCTGTCCCCAAAGCTGCCGCAAACTGTTTTCGGGATACCTGGGCCTTTGTGATTAATACTTTTCGGTATGAGCTATCGATGATCCCTTTATCGAAGAGCTTGTCAACTAATGGAAGGTTTACCGAGTACGATCGGGCAGCTTCACTCCTGATGTTTTCTATTGTTTTTAGATTTTTTGTCTTGTCGCCAGCATTACGGTTTTGCAAGAATCTCTCTGCTTTGGTCAGGTGCTTGCTGAACGATTTAGAACTCTCGGAATATCGAAGCTCGTTCATCGCAATATCTGAAAGAAACCCGAGCGAGTTCATGTATTTGTTGATTACATTGGTGTTTATTTCCTGCGTGCAGGGAGGTCTCGTTAGCTTTTGAAAAACCTCAGACGGGCTCATGGAAATGGCATAGAATTTTTCAAAAGCGTTCTCGTGCCATGCCTCATCTTCTTTGGCAGCGATCTTGAAGATGGATTCACTACCGGTTTCTGCAATCGAAGACTGCGCGAGAACATGGGCGATTTCGGATCGGGCTCGCTCTTCAAGGTTCCGGGTCACGTCTGAGCGGATGAGTTTCAAAAGAGTTTCAAAACATTCTATCATCAAATAGCGGAACAACTCTGCCTTCAAGTCTAGATCCGGAGGCAAATGTTGAAAGACGTGTTCCATGTCTAACACTTCCAGCTCAGGTGGAATCCTTTTCTTCAACTGAACCGCCCGAGCCTTAACAAAATTATACATGTTGATAGCATTTTGGGCCTCTTCCTTCACTGACGCAGGTTGAAAAAAATATCTAATTTTTTCCTCGGACAGTTTCCATTGATGAACGGGTGCAATTCCACCGACAGCTTGTTCGTGTTCCTCCTGGAACTCGTCCACAAAATGTGGGTGCACGGTGAGGAATTTGGATACTTCTTCCATAATTGTTTCGGTCTCCGTATCTTCTTCAGAGGGAATTTTGGTGATCCAAGTCTTCCTGACGCCTCCATTTTCATTGACAATGAGCTGGTACTTTCGCAGGTTGTGAAGGTAGTCTGCAAAAAGGGATCTTGTCGAGGCTTCCTCCGAAATTCCAGGAAGTATTGGGAAGTTCTTTTCAAGACTCTTAGCCAGGTTCTCTAAATTGAATGGCTTGTGAGGGCCCAGATCAAGCCCGGGTGAAACAAGGAATTTTGCGAGCGAGTCTCGTGCATCCTCTGAGGAAAATGCTCGTCGATCAGATCAACGTTCAGATCAAACAGCATGAATTTTGCCTGGCTTACCGAATTTGATAATATGGACATCGTTGTTGGGATTAGGTTTCCTCGTCAATATCCTGAAAATCGACTTGGCACTTCCAAGAATATTTGTGACGCGCGAGCTGGAGGATAGATAAAATCACTTCAGCGTGAATGATATTTTTGGATTAGAAAATAAAGACCTCACAAGGGTTTTTCCAAGCCGATTGCCGTTGACTTGACTCCGACGAACTTTCAAAATTTTAGACCAGATGTAAATTCTTTTGTTCTAACATTCAAAAATGAGGATTGAAGTCAACTCACTTTGTCCTGCTGGTTACCTTCGGATGCGGTAGGTACTGGCTTCACATGTTCATAATTGGAGAGGTCCTGTAAGCTCTGAAAGAAAAAAAGTACCAGTACCACGCACACAGGAGAACATTTGTGGTTAGCACCTTCCAACTTTTATTGCATCTGATAGCAATTCGCACCTGTTCATGCCGCATTGGCGAAGACGAATGCGTTCCAATGTTCTCGTGGACGGAATTGACGCCTTCCATATGTTGAAGCCCTCCTTGGTTAGCGGCATCGCGTGCTTGACTGGCAATCGAGAGAGTTTCGGTAGCTTCAGGACGCAATGATCGAGATTGAAGCTGATGGGTATGGAGGGAATGATAACCGGAAATCAAGCAGAGAAATCCGATGATCGACAGTTCAGATACGACGATTCGCATGGTGAAAATCTCGCCAAAGGAAGCTTCAAGTAAGGTGAGACTTATGAGACCGAGTGAGGCCTATGGAATGATAACGAGCGACTGTAAAGCTACTGACTGCCTGTGATAAAGAGGAACTATATAGAAGAGGCTAAATAATTATAAAATAAAATAAACCTTTGAACGCGACGGACTCCTAACTACACTGTAAGGGTATTTGACATCGGGTGGCACATCATCAACACTGGCTGGGGGCCCCATCAATGGAGACAATCTAGATACCATTTAAATAAGTCATTTTAAAAATTGGTACATAGGCCGAGGACGTGACCAATCGCGCGAAAAGGGTATTCTCGTTTGTGACACAAGCTGTACATTAGCTTGACCCGCGTTTATGTTTCAGAGGCGATTGGATCCATCCCCGCTGCCTTGCAAGCTTTCTGCTTATAGCCTCCCAAAACACTTCACTTCCTCCGGCTGTTGTGACATCTTGTGGGGAACTGTGAAACTGCACTGAGATATGAGTAACCCAAAAGCAACTTGTTAATCAAGTTGATGGCAAAGCTCCCGAGTGAGTCTATAGACGGCTGTGTGGTCAAGTTATCAAGTGCAGAAGGATGGGAATTGGACCAGTCGACCAAATGACCGCCCAGATTACCCGGTCGGGCTTGGGCCAGACATGATCAGTTTTTTTAGATGTTTTAATTTTGGTCCGGCCCATTTATTCAGTAAATGGCGTGGGTTGGACACAGGCTGTCGATCGGGGGCCTTCAGGGGCCTGTGGGCTTGGATAAACCAACAGATCTAGCTGGATTTTACACTTTTTACCTGATGTTGTGACTGTTTCTGAGACTCTGACTTTCCTGCCTGTCTCTCTCTGTAGTAATGAACCACACATCTATGTACAGTGCCCTCCCAGATGTATATAGCCAACTTGTTTGGATTCCACAACCCTAACCCACCAACTTGAAATCATGAGACTTGGGCAAGTGGTATAAAAGAGGTTTCAAAAAATGATTCTGAAAACAAAAGTATGAAAAACCAATTTTCAAAAGGGGCTTGGTTAAACGACTCCCAAAAAGTGGAGAGCCGACTCCCAAGCCCCGGATTCCCCGAGAAAAGGGAGTCGAACCCCCAAAACCTTTGATTGGTTTGGGAGTCGACTCCCTAAAAAAAATAATAATAAAAAATCAAAATCCCCGGTCGGTTTGGGAGTCGGCCTCCCAAACCGACCAGGGTTTGGGGGTTGATGACCCAAAATACCCAGGGCAGCGGCCAGGAGTTGACCCCTCGGCTGTGAGAGTGCACACACCTCAGCGGCCGAGACAATTCCTCTCGGCTGTTGAGGCTATACACTCTCAATGGCCAAGACAATTCCTCTCAGCTGTTGAGGGTACACACTCTCAACGGCCGATGGAAACCATCTCGGCCGTTGAGGTGTACACACCTCAATGGTCAAGGGTACACTCGACGGCCGTTGAGGTTTACTACTCCAGGGAACTTCGCCTGCTGGGTGTTCTCCTCATCGGGCGGAGAGGTTTCATCCCTGGCGTGGATCGTGGACACCTCGGCGGCTGAGATGGTCTCCCTTGGCTGGTGAGAGTGTATACCCTCAAACGGCCGAGAGGATCCCTCTTAGTCGCTGAGTTGTGTACACCTCAACGGCCGAGGCAGTTTCCATCGGCCGTTGAGAGTGTATATGTACCCTTGATGGACGAGAGGATTCCTCTTGGCCATTGAGGTGTACACTCTCATGGCCGAGGGATCAACTCCCAGCCGTTGAGAGTGTACCTCAGCGGCCGGGAGGAATCCTCCCGGCCGCTGCCCTGGGTATTCGACCAGGGATTTTTATTTTTTATTATTATTTTTCTTAGGGAGTCGACTCCCAAACCAATCAAAGGTTTTGGGGGTTCGACTCCCAAAATTTGGGGATTGCAGGGGTTGGGAGTCGGCTCTCCATTTTTTGGGAGTCGTTTAACTAACCCCCTTTTCAAAATTTTCAAAAAATATTACAATTATTGCACTTTTTTCAAAAGTCTTAATTATTGCTCCAAATGAAAAAATAAAAATTGGAAAGAGTGGTATGGTATGCAAGAAGAATGATAATAAATGGAAAAAATCATTACCAGAAATTGTTTGGACCTCAGTATCCAGCTCAAAACACAAGTTGAGTTGGATAGCACTGCCTCCTCCACTGTTTTTTCCACTGTGAGACTGATGAATGTCTCCCTCCACACCAGTTTAAAACCATCTGGTAGTTATTTTTTCATAATTTTCATTTATTATATCATTTCTCCAGCATACCATACTCCAAGTTCCAATTTTTATTTTTTCATTTGGAGCAATGTTGAGACTTTTGAAAAAAGTGCAATAATTGTAATATTTTTTGCAAATTTTGAAAATTGGTTTTTCATACTTTGTTTTCAAAATCATTTTTTGAAACCTCTTTTATACCACTTGCCCAAGTCTCATGATTTCAAGTTGGTGGGTTAGGGTTGTGTAATCCAAACAAGTTGGCTATATACATCTGGGAGGGCACTGTACTATGAAGTTACTTATGCAATACATTTTTTTACAAAAAGAAACCTCTGTGTCTAGAACATAGCCCACAGACCCTAAGAGCAACTCCAACGGAGCAGCAGTTGCACAACCAGACGTGACAGCGCACCTACTACTTCTTTTTCTTGAGTGACTATAAGTTTACTCAAGAGAGTAAACCTTTGATATTACAGAAGAGTAGAGGGTAATTCATCTTTAAGAAAAGATGAACTCTTGAAAGGGATTTAATAGTGGTAATCACTGCCAAAGGGGTTGTATTGGTTACAACCCCCCACTGCCGCGGTAAGGTTTGGTCAGAGGCGGCTATATATATATAATGGTCCTTATAAATAAAAAACACGGTTTTTCCGCGTTTACACGCAGTTTTGCATCTGCGCAGCACACGCAGATTCTGCGTTTGGACACGGTTTTTTCATTAATATTTTATGCCTTATTTTTTGAGTTTTTTTGAAATTTGAATTTTTTTTCCTACACTTATGGTATTCAAATTTGAAATGCATGAAATCATAGTGCATAAGATTATAATGCATATTTTTTATGGTGGGAGTTTCCCACTTGATGATCAAAACTCCTGCCAAAAAAATATGCATTATAATCTTATGCACTCTATGATTTCATGTATTTCAACTTTGAATACCATAACTATGAAAGGTTCAGAATTTAATGGTAAAGTTGAGTTGCCCTAAAAATGACTTTTAATTTTTTTTTTTTTGCTCACTCATTTTTTCAATTAATTGTTAACAGCTTGTTTTTCATTCTTTTTTGACATTATAAATTTGTTTCCTACACTTAAGGTGTAGAACTTAATGGTATCATTAATTTGTCATAAAATGATTTCTTTGCCTTTTAATTTTTGCTCCCACTCATTTTATTGATGCAATCACTGTGGAAAGTTCCCGGTGTTTATTCAACCTTCTGAACTTGAATTTCTGAATGGAAAAAGGGAAAAAATGTTATAATATTCTAACAAGTCCAAATCTGAATTTACAAAAGAGTGTAGTAATAAACATAGTGTGGATTTTAAAATCAAAAGTGGGAGAAAGGGGAATGATAATCACACTCCCCCCCCCCTTTTGCACACTCACTCCAACACTCCCTTGTCTGAGGGGAGTGTGGGACCGCACTCCAATTGTAATTGGTGTGCGGGTCCGCAGTCTAATGATCTGCAGGGGTATTTCCCTAGCAGGTTGGCATGCGGGTCCGCACACCAACTTCCTTTGGTGTGCAGGCCTGAACACCAATATGCAGGAGCTAAACTGCTGGAATTTCCTCTCTCTCAGCTCTATACTCCGCTCTCCCTGCACTTCTTTTTTTCCTGGCTCCGCCCGCTCCCTCCATTCTTTTCTCTTCTTATACTCCTGTATCTTCCTATCCTTCCGTTCCTCCCTTCTCAACCAATCTGTATGCATCAGCCATACCCCTCTCAACTCCGTCTTTGTCTCAGCCTCACGAATTCAAACTCGCAGCAACTCATTGTTTAACCTAACACAACCACAAGCCGGACCTCTCATCAATCATTATATTATAAATAAAGCAACCAATGTCTTGTATTCCACTTCCTCCCTCAGCAGTCTCTGACAACTTGACCTTGACTCCAACATCCACCACTTTTCACATTGCCTCAACTGCTTGGCTCTTTAACAAACTCCTCTAAAAACCTCCACCATCTCCATCAAAAATTCCACTCTTTGTCTCTCTCTGACTTTGCTTTTTCTCTTGCCTATTTGTCTATTTTCTCTCTCTCATTTCCCTTCTTTCTCACTCTCATCAATATTGACTACACTTCATCTCAAGTTCCCTACAACCTCCTTTCATCCTTATTCCGCCAACCATCTCACTTGAAATACTCATCTGGCTGTTGCCAATTTGGTGAGAAAACCCAGTTGCACTTCTCTCTTTTTTGTGTTTTCAAACACTGAATCTTATTTTTCTAAACATCAATTTTTTCTTGCTTAAAACAGTGTCTGATATTTGTCATTGTTTGATCTCATATATTTTAGTCTTTCAGTTCTGTCTAAGTCAAAAGACAATTCTACTTGTGGTAATTCTCATTTCATTATTTTTGTCATGTTATCTTTCTTTTTTATCTCTTATGAACTCTAACTCATGTCATGATTGTGTTTTAGTTCTGGTTCTATTTTCAGTAATTATTCCTGTTTTTCATCATAAATGCATACATATGTGTTTAGCTCCTGGACTATCCCATAGGACACGGGCCTGTGTCCTATGGGATAGCCCAGAGTATCTGATGTTTTTTTTTTTTTTTTCAAAAAAAAAAAGAAAAGAAGAGAAAACCTGGCTTGAGGCTGGGAGGAACCCCTCCCAGCCCCAAGACTACGGTCTCAAGGCCAGGAGGAACCCCTCCCAGCCCCAAGACTACGGTCTCAAGGCCAGGAGGGGCTCATCCCGGCCTTGGGACTTTGTACAGTCTCAATGCCAAGAGGAATCCCTCTTGGCCTTGAGACTTTGTACAGTCTCTAGGCCAAGAGGAACCCCTGTTGGCCTTGAGACCTTTATGGTCTTGAAAGAGAAAAGAGAATTGGGACTGACGATGTTGAAGAGCTTCCAAATCTCTTCGGTTTGCTTGCCCTTACCAAGTAGGACGAAAGGTTTAAAATCCAACTCATCGGGAGGAACCCCTCCCAACAAGCTGGCTATACAGACCAGCTTATCGGAAGGGATTCCTTCCCACAACCTGATTTAAAAACCAGCTTGTCAGAAGGAATCCCTTCTGACGAGCTGGTCTGTATACCAGCTTGTTGAGGGGGGTTCCTCCCAACAATATGGTGTACAACACAGCTTGCCAGAAGGAATCCCTCCCAACGAGATGGTGTACAACCCATCTCGCTGGGAGGAATCCCTCCCAACAAGCTGGGATTGATCTGAGTGGTGTGCAGGACACAGACGGGTGTCCTGCACACATTTTTGTTTTTTTTTCCTGGTGTGCAGACATGCACATACCTTGTCCACCAGAGCATTTTCCTTCCGCTAGACAAGGTACATGTACCTCGTCCAGCAGAGGAATGGTCTTCCAATGGACAAGGTACATGTACCTCGTGTCCATCAGAAGGAAAGCCTTTTTATAGATGAGTCACATTTACCTCGCATCCATTGGAAGGGTTTTCCGTTCCGGTCAACAAGGATGTACCTTGTCAACCTTGAGACTGTACAGTCTCAAGGCTGAGAGAACCCCTCTCGGCCTTGAGACTGTACAAGGTCTCAAGGCCAAGAAGGATTCCTCTTGGCCTTGAGCCATGTAAATTCTCAAAGCCAGGAGGAACCCCTCTCGGCCTCGAGCCATGTACAGTCTCAAGGCTGGCTGGGAGGAACCCCTCCCGGCCTTGACACAGTGCAGTCTTGGGGCTGGGAGGGGTTCCTCCAGCCTCAAGTCTTTTTTTTTCAATGGTCTCCAGCCAGCTATCCCATATGTAGGACCCAGGTCTGGGTCCTATGGGATAGCCCAGGGGCTATATGCATATGAATATATCTGCACATATGCATTTAGCCAGGGAAGATAATGGTGTGCAGGCCCGCACACCAAAGGAAATTGGTGTGCGGACCCGCAGGCCAACCTGCTGGGGGAATGTCCCTGCAGATTGTTGTAGTGCGGACCCGCACACCAATTTTGATTGGAGTGCGGTCCCACACTCCCCTCAGACAAGGGAGTGTTGGAGTGAGTGTGCAAAGGGGGGTGGGGGAGGTTGATTATCATTCCCCTTTCCTCTAATATGTGATAGTTTTTAAATAAATTTGGACAGCTTGTTAAGGGATTTGGACCATGTGATATAAAACAATACAAGAATTTTGCACAAACTCCCGCCAAACCTTGCCTCAAAACTAAAAATTATGGAAGGCCAAACAGGGCCTAAAAAGATGTGAAACTACTTGGGATTTTTGTCTTGCACAGCAAATTTCAAGTTCCACAATAGATAAATTCAAAAAACTTGCAGAAATTGTACATACAACTCAGAGGGAATTGTACATTATTTGTTCTTGACAAAGGACATGCTTTCCAACTTTTCTAATTTAGTCTTTTTGTGTTTTTTTTACAAAAATGAGTTTGAAGATCTTGTCAATTAATCACTTGGATAACCAGAAATGCCCTAAAATGTTTTGATTCTTTGGATATTTTTGCAAGCTTATAAATCCCTTGGAAGCTTATAAACCCTTGCAAATTATGCGTTGCCAAATTGATGATTTCTGTGGTTTGACTGGTATTGCTGGACGTGCTCGGAATTTCAAGTCATATTGAACTTTTTGAGAAACTCTCTTCAACTCATTTATTGTCGCTTCCTGGAATTTCTTCGTATTAAATCCTGGTACCGATTGAGGAAACAATGTTTATTTGTTTTTTTTAAAGGGGAAAAAGTGGATCGTTAGAATGTACTTGATCAGCAATATAGGTAGGATGAGCTTGCTTGAATGTTTTCAATGGGGACTGAAATATACTCAAAAGCAGCGCTTACCTCGTAGGACTTTGTGCCATAACCTATCAGAAAACAATGTTGGAAAAACGGATGGACTTTCTGGTGGCTTAATTTTGTCCTCTATCAGGCCGCAGCGCCAAAGCAGTTGTGCAACTTGGGTGTTTTGAAAGACAGGATGGCGCTTTCTGTTTTTGACCAGATCATGTTTGATCATCAAACGAATGGCGGAGAAGATCGATTTGCGATATTGATGGAGTACTCTGTCTGTTGAAGTATGATCCAGTTGGGGATCCGATTGTAAGAGCAGTCCAAGCTTGAACAGAACTATTTCTCCAGGTGTTTCCAATCCGTCCGCAGAACCTTGAGAAATTTTAAGACGTTGACCTTCCTTGAGAATTTTTCTCTTGTAAGGTCTTGGGGCCGACTTCGGTTCGTATTTCTCAAGCAAGAGATAATGGATTAGCATGACTTGTCTGTCAAGTCTCCCCAAATCTATCTGATATTCATTCCCAAGTCCAGCATCATAAATATGTGTCTTCGAAATTTGAACACTTCGTCGAAGGGCCTCGAGATCTGCAGCCGCACCCGTATTGATCACTAAGTAAAGCAGAATCAACAGACAACGAAACTTCACATTTAGTTCATGGAACGCAAAAACAGAGTGGGGGGATAGGGAGAGTCACTCTTTGGTTGAGCCAAGCTTGCTGGTGTCAAACCCTCTTCGAAGATGTTACACAAGATTGCTGGTGCCATGATTCCTTCGAAAACATTACATAGAAAGAACAAGAAGAGATCGGAAGTAACTCGGGAAGGGATTTTCATTTTGGCCGACCGGGAAGGATCGAGCAAGCGTTGGGGGTAATTGGGTCAGAAGTCTGCGATCGAAGAAGGCAGCTGGAGGCAACAATGGTCGAGGAAGAGCGGGATGCTGAATTCAACTATCATGACCAATGTCATCCCCGCCCGGCCTCAAAGCTTGTAAGTTGCAAGCCGGCGCAGATTTCTGCTGATTCGAACGTCCGTCAAAGACGTGTACACATCAGTACATGTTCCCCTGGAAGTTGTAGCCGGGTTGTATCAGTGACTGGTCTCCCTTGGAAACTCTTATGTTCCCGTTGGATTCAACCTGATGTGGACCATACCTTCACCCGGGTACTACCAAACAAGGAATGCTACGAGTGTTATGTTGCTATATATCCTAGGAACGGGATACTTCGCTGGTGTATCGTACCTGAAACATCGCTGATGTCAACCAGTCAGGCCTCCCGGCCCCACAGGTCCGTTCAGGTTTGTTCCACCTTGTTCCGCAGTCCCGATCCAAGGGTGAAGAACTGGTCCCACACACTGCCCAATCACGACTTGGACCTCACGGCCTGAACACTTGGCATGCGCAATGAGACTCAAATCAGACTGGCTTTATCGGTCAAGACGTGCCGCCCCAATTCAGTCTCAGAGACTGGCTCCGGAAACGTGTTATCGAAATTGTGGCTCCTTTGGAGCCAACAGTCTGGCCCGAGGAAAAATCCTACATCACTTTTTTAACATGAACAAACGTGTTATTGGAGCCAACAGTCTTGGCCCGAGGCAAAATCCTAGTACACATTTTTATCATGAAGCTACACAACGGGTGCACTTGAGTGTCCTGGGGACATCCGCATCCATTTAAAACAGAGATCCACCATCACAACAGCCTCATAACAAGATGATGCTGATTTTCTTTTAGGACCTGGGAAGGCCTTGGGACCATGCCATCCCATGGCTGGATCCAAAATCCCCAATTGCACCCGCGGTGTATTGTTGTTAATTCGAATCATCATATGATGAATATGAAAACGTAACAAGATAAATCCAAACAAAACCGGATACCCGAACTTGGATCTTGAGAAAAATTATTAAAAACATCTTAAGACTTGTAGGCAAAACGATCTCAATCAAAACCGCAGAAAACATAGATATTTGTGTTTGTTATGAGGAGGGCCAGGACTTTTTTTCATTTTTTTTGAGGATATCAAGGAACCTCAACAGGAAACGCATCTTATTTCATGATATCAAAGCAGTGCAGTTGGATCCTTGAAGTTGAGGGCCTGAAGTGATGTATCTCTAGGACCTCTACAGTATATAAACCTTGTCCAGAATATGACCAGCAAGAAAGATTTGACCGATGAAGATGGTCAGGCTTCTACCCATCTAGAATCTTGACTTACCGTGGAGATAGGAAGTTGTTTGGATTTGTTCTTCTTGTTTGCCTGGTCGCTCCAACAGAATCTTGTCGTCAAGTCTCAGCAATTCATGTCTTGTGGCTTCCTGGAATGTTTTTGTTTTGAAACCTGATGGCAATCAAGAGCGTCAGTAATTATGTTGTGAATGATGTGAAAAAAAGGGTTTATAGGATGTATTATGTGTCTATTTTTTTTCCATAGGTTTTAAAGAGCACTTTTTTAAACAGAAATGCGCAATGCTTACCTTTGACGATTTGATACCAGAACGGATCAGAAAACAAAACAGGAATAGCTGAAGGTCGTCGAGGAGGTCTGATTTCGTCGTCTATGAGTCCACAACGCCACAACAACCGAGCGATGGTTTGATCCTGAAAGAGCGGATGAAGTCTATGGTTTTTGACGAGATCGTGTTTGATGATCAAACGGATGGCCAAGAAGACCGATTTGCGAAACTGATGTATTTTTCTATCTGCCCATATCTCTTTCCCAAGGATGTTGGAGGGATTCGATCGCAAGAGTCTGGAAAGCTTGGACAACACTATTTGGCCGTGTGTTTGGAAGCCAGAGCCTCTGCCGAGGACAACCCGAACTGCTCCCGGCTCACGAGATCCTCTCATGGCGATCATCATGCCTTGGCCATCTTCAGAACTTTTACCGATTGTGAATCGTCGATCACCTTCTCCGAAAATCTGCTTCTTGAGATGTCTCGGCGCTAACGATGGTTGGTATCTTTCGAGCAGAAGATAATGGATCATCGCCACCCGACTGTCGAGTTTATCCAAATATCTTTGGTATGAAGTCTCAAGTCCAGCATTATGAATTTGCTCTTTAGCTCTTTGGATATTTCGACGAAGGTCTTCGAGATCTGCGGCCGTTCCTTTATCAGGGACTTGAATATAAACGAAGTAAAACAAACGGACAAGGGAAGTTCACTTTTCGTTCATCGACTTGAGTTTTTTTTTTTAAAAAAAAAAAACAGTGAAAAAAAACAGGAGAGTTACCCGCTGGTAAGGCCCAGGATACTGAATTCGAAACCGCTTCGGAAACGTCACTGAGCTTTGAGGGTGCTACGATACCTTGGAGAACATTCCATAGAGAGATGAAGAAGAGGCCCGAAGTAAGTTGCAGGTAAGCAATCTTCTTCATTTCAGTCGGCCGGGCCGTGATGACGGGATCAGACAAGTATCGACCCAAGTTGGATTTGGAGTGAACGAGGCACCATGTATTTATAAAATGCCTTGGGATTGCAAAGCAGCTTCTTGAGCAAGAGTTTGGCGCCAAAAAGAAAACCTGGGCCTGTTCATGAATAAAAACCCTCTCGTCCCGCCTCAACGGAAGCTGTTGAACCTACTGTTTTGGGGGGTCCGCTGCAGCGAGAGCTTCGACCCATGTATGATGTACGTCTGCCTCTCGAAGCCGGCCGCGATAAAACGTCGCCCACAGCAGGGAATCACAGGGAATGGCGCTGAGTTCGTCGCCGATGATATGTTGTAAATACTTGTTTCTCGACTTGGTTTATCGAGGTGACCTAGTTAAAAGAACCTGAAATCGTTGTGATTAGGATATTTTTCCAGGCCAGAGTGATTTGAATACAATATCTTTGCAATCTTGTGAGCAAGGTGAACCTATACGAGCCTCATTGAGCAGGCTGGAATGGATATAGATCCCCTCGTCCTCTCTTGATCCTGTTACTTGTCCATACTCGACATGAAAGGAACATATCGAGCGACGATCATTCTCCCTCTCTGTCTTATATTCAGCCTCAACGCAGTCCCAGCGACCCACGAGGTATCCGAAGGTAAGCCTTCCTTGTTGCCCGTATTTGTTGAGGAAAGAGGGAAAAGAGCCCCGCGATTCTCGGGTTTCTGGTGGTGTCCAGTGACGACCGGACAAGGACGGGCTCCCCGATTTCCAAGAACTACTGGGCCGGAGTGTTCATGAGGAGGCCACAGCGCATTTTCGCGAGGTACATATAAGGACTGGACAAACACTGCGCAAGCTGTCGGCTGGGTTTTCTTGACGAGCAAACTGTCGGACTCTATAAATACGTAGCTTTGTTCTCGAGCGCCAGAAATGAGGGCGGATGGGGAGCGTGGCTGGGCTCGGTCGCGCCGGAAGCCGGTCGGGTGAAGAAGAAGACAGGCTTGAGGGCCCGAAGCCCGCCCCAGTTCTGGCGAATCTGGCATTGCTCTTGATCAGAGTCCGTATGCAGCCTGAGCTTCGGATCTTCAGCAGAGATGATCGCGACCACCATCGGTTCCGGAACGGCGATCTTCTTGGCGATCCGGTTGATGATCTCAAACAAGGTTTCACACGGTTCGTGATCTCAAAGTCCAAGAGATCCTCAAGGATAGTGTGATCACCCGGCCATCTCTTGCGCTGCGGTCTGATATAAGAGCACGAGATGATCAAGGGCTTGTCGAGCAGGTTGCAGAATATCTGGACCAAGACCGATCTTGGCGCTCGTCCTCATCCTACACTCTTTGAGGATCCGTTTTGGTACCATTTGGTTGAAGTTCTGGGTTGAGATACTATACTTCACTCAAGATTTTCCTCCCCAGTGAGAGCAATTTTTTTCGGTGGACCACGCGTCGTTTTTTTTTTTTCGTCATATACGCTAGCCACAAAAACTGCATGTCACCAGAAACTCGGTCCAGAAAGAAAGAAAGAAAAAAAATTCATACCTGATAATTTCTTGGATGTCGTCGGCCATCAGCTTTTATAACATAGACGAGCAAAGATGTAAGGAAACGCAAGCCCGCGAAGTCTCAAGAGCGGCAGGACGGATGCGAGAGGCCCGGGCTTGCCAAGAAGAACTCTTTAAGAGCACAACAAAAGATCGAAAACCAATCAGCTATGTACATAGACCCCGATATCCAGACCCCCTTCTTCAACATTGTCGAAGCTACATAGACGTTGTCCGGATCAGCAGCACTTGCTAGACGAGAGTTTTTATAAATGGCTTGCAAGTGTATTGGGATTCCAATTGCTCGATTTTGAGTTCTCTCTTTTACATCTTGCTACATTTTTAATTCAAATTTCTTCTTTTCTAGTAATTTTGGCTTGATCTCTTCATCTTCAGCTACCATTAACATAATGTACTCATACACACCAGACTTCTACGACATAGCTATACAGCCCCCTAACAACCACATTTGAGAACCCAAATCATGCGGTGAGGAGTATACAAAATACACATAAATATATAAAAAGGATCAAGATAAGTCCATGTGAGGAGGAGGGTAGAAACGATAAGAAAAACCCCGAAAGGGAAAATCAGAAGAAGAAGAAGAAGAAAAAAGAAAGAAAGATAAATGATCAGATCTCAGTCCTCATCAAGCTCATCATCATCGGATCCACTATCATCATCGATCGAGCATTGTCTCCATTCTTCTAACTCATCAGGAGACGCCACTGACGAAAGAATATCATACGCCAAATCTACATCCGCAACATTCCAATCCCAACAACTCAGTTGTCCCATCGACACAGAACTCAAGGAAAGAGGGGAAGAAAAAAGGAGGAGAGAAGACTGACCAGCAATCAGATCGAGTTTGAAGAAAAGATGCTTATCCAAATGCCGATTAAAGACGTGTCCGAAATGGCGCAGAGGGGGGTCCCAGGGAAATGGAAAAGCGGCCACCATCTCGATCCGATCGTCCCCAGGATCCTCATTCTGATTCGGATTCTGATTTGGTTGATTTGGATTGGAAGTAGACGTCGAGAATGGATTAAGATAATCGAGCCAACTAAGTTTGGAGAAACAGACGATAAACTCATGGTAGATGTTATTATGAGTGCCGATGATCATCGGGACGATCGGTCTGAAATACACAGAAGAAGAAGAAGAAGATGATGATGATGGGATTGGGTCGAGGTGTGGAAAGCGAAGAGAGGGTGGCTGCAAAGTGGGGCGACTCTTGCTTCAGTCGACTGACTAGACACATCGGCGTCCGTGTTGTGGCCGCATTCGCTTTCGTATTAGTTGAAGACGAGGAGGATTGCGGGTAGAGAGTCTTGTGGAGGATCTGGACGGACAGCTCGATCCGCTCGATCAACCTACAATTAACACGAAAAGTGTAACACAAAAGAAAGAGGTTAAGAGAACTGGAAGTGATAAGAAAAAGGAGAGAAAGAGCGAAAGAGAGGGGACGAGACCTGGGAACGAGTAACCGATGATAGACCGTTCCGTCGAGGTTCCAGAGCCGATAAGCGTCTACGAAGACGGTTTTGATGAGGGAGGAGAAGAGAGACGAGCCAGCGGAGGCGAGGGCCTGCCAGCCGTCCCATTCGTGCGCAGCGCGTTCCTCACTAGGAGGGAGATGGAGAGGATTGGGACGATGGGTGATAGCGAGGAGATGGAGGAGGGAGAGGATCTTAAGCTTGAGTGAGTGTCGATCTGGATCCTCGGCGATCTTCCGATTTCCACGACTGTCAGACTCTTGGTTGGTCGCGGTGACCAGATAGAGCTTCATGATCCGATCGACTACCGTCGATGAACTACTCTCTTCCGTCTTCTCTGCTTCCGTTTGACGGCCTTCAACTGGCGTCCGAACCGGCACTGTGGGTCGTGGGTTCCCATTCGTCTTCGAGCCGACATTCCCCGGCTTGGCTCGCTGTTGGTTACGAACATTGGGTGTCGAGTTGGTCGGGTTCGGCTGAGAAGGCGCAGGATCGATAGATTCTTGGACCCGAGCCTCTAAGATAAGTTTACTAAACTCGACTCCTACATTCAAATTTCATGTCAGACATAAGAACCAAATCATGGCAATATTGAAAAAAACTGAGGGGGGAGGCAAACTGAACTGGAGGCTAAGGAGAACAAGACATCGATCGATTTTTCGGTCAGGATCAGACCATCATCATCTTCTTCGTCATCATTTTGTAGCTGTTTTGAGGTCCCAGTAGTCTGCTGCTGATTATGGTAATATGGAATCACTAAAAGGTATGGAAAGATCGATTGTCCATTCGACTTGAGAAACTTTTCTAAACTTTTTATTTTTTTCAAACCAGTACAAGAAAGTATGATTAGCATTTAATCCTCAAAATGATTGAACAGTCAAGTGAGAAATCCAGGTGTAGAGACAAGAATTTATGGAGTTTCCCACAATAACAACAAAAACAAAAATCATGAAAAGGAGAAGAAGGAGAAGGAGCAGACATACATAAGATAACAAGCCTCAGGAGGGTCCCAAACAAGAGCAGCAAGAAGATCCAAAAGAGCGGTATGTAACCGACGACAGAACAGAGAATGAAGATCAACAGAAGGCGACGAAACCGTGTGGTTAAGGTTCACAGGAGCCGAAGAAGAAGGCGGCGGAGGGAAGGGCAGAGTGAGAGAGATAGAATCATCGGCAGTCGAAGAAGAAGGAGGCGTCGAGCTTTTGAAATGTCGGTTTCGGATCCGATCGAGGTTCTCGAAAAGCGTCAGGATCACCACCAATAGATCTCCCTCTTCTTCTCCTTGAGGAGGAGGAGGAGGATGATGGGGGGGTGGGAAGATCGGATGGGAAGAAGGCGTTCGGCGGGCGTCGAAGTCCGGATGCGATAGGAATAACGAGACAAAGAGCGGCGACACTTGGACTAGAATCGTCAGGATATGGATGGCCTCTGTTTGCGCTTCGATCTATACATAAAAGAAAAACAAATCTACCATCATCAGTCAGAAGGAAAAAAAAATAATGGCCAAAAGGTGAAGAAGGGGGAAATACTGACTAGATCGGTGCGACTTAAGAGCGCACATATCTGGACGAAGAGCGAGCCGATGCGGACGACGAAGCCAACGACACGAGCGTCCTCATCATGATCATCGGCGGCGAGAAGATGAGTGTTGGATATCGACGGAGCGGAAAGCAAGGAGAGCAAAGTCTGGCTGGGTCTAGCAGTAGAAGAAGAAGAACACGACGGAGGGGGGATTTGGAAGGTATCCGGATCGGAGGCGTTAGCAAGGATCCCAAAGAGCTCCATGACCAGACCGTCAAAGGTAGCTTTGAGACCCGGTTGAGAAGCCTGTTCGAGTTGGTTGGAGGCATTCAGGATCGTCTGCAGCGTCGCTCCAATCGTCATCCCGCTTCGACCCCCTCCTTCTCCTTTGGTCTCTTTTCCTCCACTCTTCTTGGTCGAAGAGTCTTCTTCGATTAGGGTCACCATAAAGCTTTGGAAAAGTCGGACGATCACCTGTTGTTGTTTATATTTTCGAGTATCATTTTTTTAGCTCCAAACACAAAGGAGCAAACAATAAAAAAAAAAAATGGGATGTAGGAGAGGGGGACTGACTGTATGGATGAGTTCGTAGGGATGATTAGCTGGTGGACCGGCCGATCCAGGAGGTGGAGAAGAGCTTTGAGGCGACGAAGGAGAGGGGTTTTGTTGTTGAGAGGTAGAGAAGGGAGAGGCAGAAGGAGGGGGAGGTTCGAGGAAGGAGATCGAAGGCCGAGGATGAGGACGGGCGGGCGAGTTTTGAGGCGGCTGGGTGGATTGGTCGTTTTGGTTGAAGCTAGACGAGGGGGCATGCTGGGGAGTGAATGACTGTTGTAAGGCGACCAACTTGCGATTGTTTTTTGTAGGTGTCGTGGTGGTGGTGGTGGTTGCTGTTGTTGTGAGTAGGGTTTTTCGAAGGAGTGATGTTGAGGCAGAGGATGATGGCTGTTGTTGCTGTTGTTTCTTGGCAGATTCTTCGAGTCCTTTGAATGTCTCCTTGAGGTTCCTCTGTGATTCGATCCTGGCTAGTTGTTGTTCGGCCCTTTCGGCTCGTGTCTTGAGCTGTTGCTCTAGTCTCTTGAGTTCAGTGAGCTGTTGAGTGCTCGTTGTCTTGCTGGTCTCTAGTTGTGATTTGATGATCGAGACTTGTCCTTGGAGTCTCTGTTTCTCTCTCTCTGATTCGTTGAGTGCTATTCTGATCTGTTCGATCTGTTTCTTGACTCTGCTTAGTTCTTGTTGATGTTGTTCTTCGTCTTGTTTTTTGGTTGACTGTTTCTGTAGTTTTGGTCTTTTGGCTGGTGGTTCTTCTTGTGTTTGTTGTTGTTGTTGTTGAGTTTGAGTGATTATGAATTGGTTTTCTACTTGATCTAGTTGTGCGTGTAGTTCTGGGTCGTTGAAGAATTCTTCGTCCTCATCCTCGAAGTCCATCCTGCCTGTCTGTACTGTTCGTTCGTTCGTTCGTTCTGTCTCCTCGTTCTTTCGTTTGTTCGTTCTGAGTTGTTCTTCCAGTCTTCTACTCTTTTTTCTTTTTTGTTTTTTGATCGATCGATTACCTCATCATCTCACAGCCAAACCCCCTTTCACTCTTGCCAGACCCCCTTCTACAAGTTTCAAGCCCAGAGTGATTATGTAATCATCAAATCCTTACATATGTATGTAGTTTCTAATTTGCAAGTTCACTGAAAACTCAGAAAGCAACCATCCCAATCTACCACAAAACCTTCCCCTTCAACAGCTAAACAGGTTGAACTTTCATTGACAGCCACATTCTTACATCACCACAATCAGTGATGTGGGCCAATTACACTAACTGTAGCATTAGCATAGCAGAATTCTGCTGAAAAATAGTGTAGCATAGCAGAATTTTGCCACATCTGGGCTAACACCACATGGGCACTACAAAAAGTGTTGAATTGCATTCTGCGGATGCGCGGTAACATCAAAATGCAACTGAATTTTTTGGCACTACAAATTCAATCACATTTTGCAAATGCAAGGTGACATGTGATGTTATTGCGCATTTGCAGAATGTGATTCAAGATTTGTTGTAGTGGGGTAGGTCCCAAAAAAGGGACCACTATGCTGTGCTAACACACTGATTTCCATTTTTTTTTGGCTTTATAGCAGCTAATTGTAGGGTAGTAAAAACTTACTAATGGTGCACTAACACTACACAATTTATGTGCAAAGTGTAATTAAAACTACAAAGAGCACTTATCATCTCCTCTCTTGATTTGTCCACCATCTGCAACCCATCATTGAACCATCAACTCAGATCACACAATACCTAAACTCTTCTTGTTACTTGAAATCATCAAGATCTTCTATCATCTCACCCATATCTTCTTTCTTCTCTTGCTTCCTGCAACTTTTTATCATCAAAGATTATCTCTACTTCAAATTCATAACAAAGCACTCCTTCTTGTCACACTCTTACACTGCACTTCTTGGCATCTCCTCTTCTTCATTTTTTTTCTACATTTTATTATCTGTCTGCCTAGTGCCTACCCCCCCCCCCCCCCCAACTTTATCCTATGACTCTGACTTAACACTGTAATATCAACTTGACTTTTCCTGTTCTAACATGAAGCCCAAAGTCCAACATTGATCCCTCCTCACTTATGAGATCCTTCTTCAACTTATTGTTGACCAGATACCAAAAATCCAATACATCTGTGTATTGGTCATTCAAGATAAAGGCAACTTTGAGCAGATTTATGGATAAAATTTTATGAATTTTGTCAAATCTCTTGAATCATCAGGTTTGGAGCAATTTGAGATTTTTGACACATTTGTAAAATCTTGATGATAAATTTCATTAAATTTGCTTCAAGTTTCAGACATGAACTGTCAATATAATTTATTGGAAGCAAAACCAATTCAATCCTGACAAATACCAATATAATGTACTGTTTTCACAGTTGATTCTTCTGTCCCAGCTCATTCACCTCACCAACTTTTGAATCTGGAGAATTGGGAGGAGGAAGTGAGTCAATAGGATACTTTGATGGTGGCAAAGCTTTTAGTTCCCACTTATAGTAATTAAGCATTAGACTGATCTAGCAAAATTAAACATAAATCTGGAGCTCCAAAATGAAGGATCTGATCAAGATAATTTTACCCAACATATCACTTATTACAAGATCTTCCTCTTTGCATGCTTTCTTTTTTTGATCTCAATTATGTGGAAGCAGATTAATACTATGAGCCATTAACAGATGAATTGTACCAATTCCCAATTTTAGTTCATGTAGAGAATATTCAGAAAGCTACATCTTAATAAAAGAACCCTATTTTATAATAGTCATATTTTATATATTGTAACTTCCAACCAACATTGATAGGTTATCAAGATTTATGACTATAGAAATGTCAGGATTGAATTCAAAAAAATTACAATGATCAAGATGATTTAAATGTCTCGAAAAATGGGCCGACAGGGCCTGTGCGCTCTAGGTCTATGCGAAAACCAGCTTGATCCTTATTTCCAGGTTCCAAGAAAGAGCGTCCCCTACTCAAATCTTTATCTTCGTCTGAATCGCTATTATCACCGTTCGAGTGGTCCACATCTCGTCGGACTTGCTTATTGTGGTCCGCGATTATTGCTGCGTAGTCTTCGGAAAATCGATAATTCCATACAACGATCTCCTGGTCTGCTAAGTTTTCTGGAATTTTACGATCATTCATAGGAACGATTGGAACGCCCGATCTCCCGAGTGACAATCGAGACGTTCTACGCCGGGTGCGTATGGCTTGAGAGGAGGGAGGTTCGACCGAGATAGTTTGTTGGATGTGCTGTTCCGTCCCAACCCGCTGTCGTCTCGCTGCTGCCAATTCTATATCTCTGTGATCCTGAAGTGACGTCCTCTCCACATCATGATAGATTGTCCACCCACAAGTCATCAGATCAAGATTGTGCAAGTATAGTACTGTTCGAGAGAATTCAAGTTCATTTCCAACCGGCGTATAGAGTTGGTAAGGCTTGTTGAGAGTCGTGTAGGGTAGGCTATGTAAGTTTTCTTCATTTTCGTTTTCCTGAAGTGAAAATCGACCGGTTCCAACCCTCATGTCTACAGTGATAAGACCATCATGATCGAAACGAGCATTCCCCAAATGAACATTTCCAAATATTAGACTGCTGCTGACGTCTGTCGTCAAGGTCCATTTGTAAATGAACCCATTCGAAGGAGCGGCCTTGATTAAGATGTAAGCAATAAATTTGTAACACCAGTCCTTCATGGTATTGGAAAATAATGGACGAAGGAGATCTATAAAACCTATCTCTATCTAAACCGTGTGGATGCTGGACTATCCAATGTCTGGTTTTAGATAGGTATAATATACGACGCTGAGAAGTGGTTTGCAGAGTCTCAGTTTGAGCTCATTAGGGTTTTGGACACCCCCGCTGACGTGCCGCTATGCTTGTATGAAACAGAGAAATCTTTCCATAGTAGATGACAAAACAGGAATAACCCCACGCTGGTATCTAATGTGGACATTAAAGTGATGTGAAACGACGCTCAGTATCACATTCCGACTCGCGAGTCATTGAGTTTGTTTCATCCAGCGCAGCTAAAACTGATCTGCTTACCATTATTTTGTAGTGGCAAGGTGTAACCTGATCTATTGAACCATTTCAACACACAGTCTGTTACGCACCATTGGACAGTCAATTTTTTTGCCTGTCTGACATGGCACAGCTTTTCTATGATTAATCCTAAGAGGGCAATGCCGCCGAAGGGTTGGAGCCTTGTAGAACTGGAAGTGCTTGAATGAGCCTCGGTCAAAAAAAGAAAAGAAATTGGCCACCTATCATCAGCTATGGACTCAATTTTCATGAAGGGTTGTGCACACCCTCCCTCCCCCCTAAAAACACCAAAATATGGAAGCACTCTTTCCCTGCACACTTGTCAACACATCCTTCAGAGCATCAATCTCTGCAGGTCTGGGAGTCAACGGAGAGATAGAATTTAGAAAGATCAAGTTTTATGAGCCAGCCCAGATGCCCATGTTGATGAAATTTTACCGGAGAGGACAAGAATTTTTTTGAGACAAGAAAAAAATTTTAAGGGCAACAAAAATTGATTTTTGTTGGGAAGACTCAATGGTTGGGAAAAGAGGGTGAGAGCCAATGTGTTTTTTACTTAGGGAGACTACGCGTTAAATAGTCTACATACAAGAGGTCAAACATGTGGTTGAGAAAAATGAAAATCAAAATGAATAAAACAGATTAACATATGCTTGAAAAGATGACTGGAATAAGTGTAAGTTGATAAAGACTAGACCAGGGTTCAAAGACTACAAGGATTGCAGCAATAGACAACATAAAAAAATATCACGCAGAAACTATCAAAAACAAAGTAAAAATCATGTAAATTATTTATCAAATCATATTTAATTTAACACTGAGATAGATGAGTTTTTTAGGGATGAGAAGAAAAGAGATGAAATTCCAACACATGTCATCAATTGTTTACATGACATGGCCACCCCCTCTTATTTTAGATTAGACTTGGCGCACATGGGTATGTTCTGGAAGGCTGGGAGTTTGACATAATTTCAGGACCTTGGGTTGGAATATATGGGATCATGGATTTCAAGTTTGAGGTTCAATGGATTTCTTTCAGGGCTGGCAACCCACTTATGCTCTTATGCTTGTGACGCCAGTCAAAGAAAACCTGTGATATTGCCTTTACTCTGTTGTTACCAGTAGTACAGCTACCCTGCAACCATCAACTGTAAATACAGCCCAGAGCTTCATCAGGAAGTTCATCTCTTGTTTTTTTTCCTCATAGTTTATTTAGGGTTCTCAAAGTTGAAGCATACGAACATACATACAAGACTACACCCCAGGGGCGCTTCTTGCCGAGAGGGAATGTGGATCCCACGGGAGACGCCAACCACGTGAAATCCACGAGATCGGCTCTGCAAAAGTTCGGTAAGCTCCGGTAAGCTCGATTTCTGTTGTCGGTTCCACAAGGTTCCACGACCCAAGGCTTTTCCAACAAGGGTTCTACGTGGGCTTGTTGCCCACGTCGATTCCATGACGGCTGACCTCTATTCCACCTACAACCAGGACCCACCAATATGGGTCCTGACCGTCCAAAAACTCGAGAAAAATGAGTTTTGGAAAAAAAAAATCTAAAAAAAAACTTTGACATTTTTTTTGTTTGAAAGTAAAGGAAACAATCATTTCAGGTCAATCTGACCTCGGAAGGAGGGGTAAACGATCAAGTTCATGCGGACCAACGGTTAAGCATCCTGATACTGGATGCACAACCTTGGTCCGTTCTTGGGGTTCAATTCCCCGTCCTCTCTTTTGGCGGCGTTGCCAATTCTGTATCTGTGGCCATGGGAGCTCCCTTGTGGGCTCCTCGGCACATCCTCGGGATGCAGCCGTGGACCAATCCGTGGAGCCCACTGAATCCTGTGGACTGGCGGGTCCTTGTCCAACCTCCCGCAGTGGCCGCTTGTGGGCTTCCCGTGAAAAACTGGTGTCGGTCCACGTGGGTGTGCACCCTAGGTGTACATATGGTGTATTAAAGATGTCATCAGGTACCCGTTTCCGGGTACCCGGCACCCGTTTGCGGGTACCTGTTTTTGAAAACAGGTACCCGCAAACGGGTGCCAGGTGCAGGTGCGGGTACCTGCCTCAAAAATCCAATATTTTTGACACCCGCACCCGCACCCGCACCTGCTAGGGCAGCCAGGGCGGGTACCCGGGTACCTGCGCCGGGTACCTGCAGGTACCTGGAACATTTTTGCAGGCAAATATACCCAGAAATCTCACCCTTGAATTTCTGCATGACTTGGTAAATATAAGATTGATATTCACTAGATATATGAAATAAAGAAATAGAGAAAAACAAATTATTCCATCACCAATTTGAATTTTATCTTCTCTCTGATCTATCTTTAGCTTTACCCTTTTGCTTGGCCTCATTTGCCTTATTCAATGTCCATTGATGAAGACTGTACACCGTCTTTATGACTGGAGGAATTCCTCCAGTCATCAAGACTGTACACCATCTCAAAGGCCGGAGGGAACCCTCCAGCCTCAACAAAGCAACCAGATTAGTTCAGCAACACATGTAAGACACCAGCTGGTGTCCTACATGGGTTGCTGACACCTTTGTGCAGCCCAACACACCCAAAAAAGGGAGTTTTGGACCACCAATGATAAATGAAATTCTTCAGGGGAAGCATTCCCAGGGCGGGTGTAAGGCAGGTACCCGGGTACCTGCCTTTTTTTACCGCAAATGTTGACACCCGCACCCGCACCCGGTACCTGTTTCCGGGTACCTGCTTTAGAAAACAGGTACCTGCAAACGGGTACCAGGTACCTGCAAACAGGTACCTGCTGACATCTCTGGCTTGATTGGGCAACTTGCGCGGGGCTTGGATCTTGGCACACAGCCAAGTCCCGCTTGGCCGACCCCAAGCGCTGGGCCAATGAGATCATCGACACACCCTAGCTTAACACAATCCCCTCGTTCCAGAGGGCCGGGGGCACCTCGCGAAGCGAGCCTCTGAAAGAGGGGCTTGGGAGTGAAGTTGAAACATTGGCCTGGAAGCTCAGGCTTTTTGTGGCTTTTTTTGGCCTTTGCACACAAAATCCCCTATAACTCAGGATAAATCTGGATGATTTTGATGCCGTCAACTTCTTCGGATACCTGAGCTTCTTCCCATTCTGCCCATATAATTTTTTGATAATTGTAGTGAGTATAAGTCATCCGTCCCTGAGATGCCAATTGGGGGACTTGGTCCAAATACAGTGGTAATCTCTGGGAAGAAACGGGAATCTCTATGACCATAGTTGGGGCCCATCATGAAACTTCTGGCCAAACGGCCTTTGTAAAACGCTGTTGATGGGGGCAGGTGAGGGCCCATGGCCCCAAGAGTTATACAGAAATGATCAGAAGAAGCCTGCCTCTCAAATGGTCAAACAGGCGGGTCAAATTTCCACTTGGAAGATGACACAAGTCTGCGAGCAAGAATTTCCCCACCTAACTGATGCCAGCTTCCACACAAGAAAGCCGACTTTGTTCACAAGTCCCTCCTTCGGAGGCTCGCTCCGCGAGGGGCGCTTCGCGCCAGCCTGGCACAGGCCCATCCGATCGAGGGGCTTGCGTTAAGTTAGCGACACACCCCGATCTCACCTCCTCATCTTGTCTGACACACCATCACCTCCTCATCTTGTCCAACACACCATCACCTCCTCATCTTGTCCAACACACCATCACCTCCTCATCTGGTCCACCACACCATCACCTCCTCATTTTGTCCAACACACCAACAAAAATGTAAGTGTTTCTTTTCTTTACCCGGTATCCTTTTTATCTGTATACTTGACCATTGTTTTTATTGACTTATCTTTTACTTTTTGTTTTTTTCCAGATGTCCGACTCTGCGGTGATGGACTTGACCGAGCTGGAGATCATTGAGGCGAATAAGAAAAGGTCGCAATATGTATAAAAATATCAAAATAAATATATATAAATAGTGTATCGGTGACTTTGTTGTAAAGTTATAGCCTGAAGTGTTTAGAACACTAATAACCCCCCCCCCCCCCCAATGAGTTCTAGGAAGAGAGGAGTGAGAAGTGAGGGTTGAGGATCGAGGTGGTGGGTGGTTTTGGCGCGGGCAACGCTGGGCCAGCTACGCTAACCGTAGCGGTTAGCGCAGCGTAACGTAGCGGAATTCCACACAACTTTAGCGTAGCGTAGCGGGATTCCGCCACGACACCGCTAACGCTACGCGTGTGGGCCGCAAAAAAGGGCCCACTACGCTGCGCTACAGCGCTTTTTAGCGGTTTTTGGCCGCTTTTTCCGCTAAAAGCGCTGTAGCGCAGCGTAGCGTAGCGAAAAACCGCTACAAAAACGCTAACACTACCGCTTTTGGATGAAAAAAAGCGCCGCTACGCTACGCTTTTTGGGCCAAAAGCGTAGCGTAGCGTAGCGGCCCACCGCTGGCACGGGTGGCACCCTCGCTTGGGCTCGGCCAAGCCAGCTTTGGCATGTGCCAAGCAGGGGTTGAGAGGGTGCCAAAATGGCTTTAGGGTGTGCCACGCGCGCTTGGGGATTGGCCAAGCACGCTTGGCTTGTTTTTCACCCAACTCGGGCATGTGCCCAGCGTGGCTTGATACACCGTACAACAGAATACAACACATAAGCTGTTTTTCTGCCGGGGTAGGCGGGGGTATGCATCCAGAACGGGGTTTGTTGCACGGGTATCGATTAGCGCATGGAAAAAAAGCTATGTAATTGTGAATGTATGGGAGTATGTATGAGCCGTACAACGTCGGCCCAATTTCAACTTTGAGAACCCTACATAATTGTTTGGTGTCATGTCTTTCTAGTGCATCTGAGTATTTGCTTGCCTTTTCACATACAACTCAAAATCAGATTGTTTTCACATCTCTTCTCTCTTTTCATCTAGGCTCTTACACTCCCGAATCCTCTACAGAACTTGCCCCCCTAGAGCAAGTACAGGAAAAACCATGCTACAAACATACAAAAAAGCTTGTAGGTAGAAATAATGATATTCATAGTGTGCAATGCCAAAGGCCAAACTTACACTTTTTTTTTTTAAAAAAAAAATCTAGGTTGGATAGAAATACCAGCTAATTGTTAAATTCATGTAACATCTTCAGATAGATGCTAAACAGAATCTTCAAAACCCAATTCTTTGTCAAAAGCCATTGGAGACATTGATGGATGTGCAGAGCCCTCATAGCTGAGCCACAAAGGTCAAAGTTTGAACCCATGCTGACTAGTTTTTTTTTTGAATGTGTTTCATTACTGGTCAAGCTGAGGAATATTCCTAACACCAAATGACTATAACCTGTGTCTATCTCTAACTTGTTTAGCTGACTTCTTCCTAGCCTGATACCAGCTTGTTCCAGGCTGGAACAAGCTAGCGCCTCCCGTGGACCGGCGAGCTGTGTCCTCGGCCCTCTGAAACGAGGGATTGGGTTGCGCTAGAAATGTAGGCAGAAGGCTTGGCTTATCCAATGATGCACTGTTTCAAGATGAATATAGCACAGACATACCTTCTTCAAATGGCCGAATAGAGACGAACCATCCTACCATCAGTTGAAATCTAAGAATGCTAGACATAGTTTCAATTCATCTTGATTCAGTTGTTGGATGCCGATTCAGACACGTAAGAATGAGTTTTCCCTATCCTATAGATACGATGTAGGAAATGCCCGATGGGAGGGCTCCGTATCCCCTTCAGATAGCTTTTTTTTCGAAAAAAAAATATCATGAACATGCTACGTTATAGTTACATTGCCTACCTTTTACTCAAGGCCACCCTTTCCAATGCGTTTGTTTACAAATGGATCTTGACGCCGATGGGTTCCGGTACAGTTCTAAGGATTGGAGGACTTCGTATCGGGGACGCTCGTCTCGAAAGCGATGGCCTAATCAACATTGATATGAGAGTTGGAACTGGTCAATTTTCACTCAATGAAAATGAAGAGGAAGAAAATTTACGCGGACTACCGTATTCCACCCTAAACAAGCCTTACGAACTCCGAGCGCCGGTTGGAACAGAAAGTCAACCATATTACCCATCACTTTACTTGCACAATCTCGATCTGATGACTTGTGGATGGACAATCCCACCTGCTGCTCAACCCATGAGGCTCAGGACAATCGACGAAAACGTAGTGGGGGTGGTGAGCCGGCGAGGTTCACGTATCTCGGTCCATCAATCCTCCTATCGCCCCGAAGCGCCCGGCCCATCTGTCCCATTGGCCACGATGAGACAGGGTGTTCCGACTGCTCTCTCGTCTTACCTGGACATTCCAGGAGGCTTTCAAGAAAAAGAAATCGTCGTATGGAGACATCGTTATTCTCCTTTCTACGCATGGGACATTGAGAAACACAACAGCGAAGTCGAGAGGACTTTTTCCCACATGGAAGGTGAAGGCGGCCCATACGATTTTGGTGTAGGAAAAGCATTGTTGGAATATCACAATAATCACCAAGAAGGGTTCCGAGTAGATTTCGAAGGCAAAGGACCTGTAGGACTTTTTGACTGAACTATCCAAGTCATATGGAACATCAACATGCTGTATATATCCATCAACATCCTGAAGTTTTTTGTCATAAATTCTGATAAAAAAATTTCTCTTCTAAGCAAGATCCAAGTCTTATCTGATACTCCTAAGAATGCTTTAGTACTACGTCAAAGTCTACAGGTGGTTAAGACTACTGGTAGATTTCCAGAGAAGCTTGCCAGCAGATACACTCAAGACAACAACTGATTTAGTGGTTAAGGGATATTCAAGCAAATAGTCAATAAGAATCAGAAAGATAGATAGTATGAAACTTGAGTTTTGGGAAGATGATTAGGGAGGTCACTTAATATTCCCATTACCATTGATGATACAAAAATTTCAAGATTAGAGAGCCACTCCTTCAAGGAGGAAGCACCCCTGGTTTTTTTTGGTTTAGATTTGGCTGGGACTTTTTGTAATTCACTGTAAATTTTGAACCTGTAAGTGTCAGTGAGAACAATGGAATTAGTCAAGTCTAAGATCATGGGGAGGGAATCAGCTTATCCTTTACCTAAGGAAGGCCATCAGATCCCGGCATTCTTGTGCCACCCGTTGGCTAGCCCACCAAGTCATTCTCACCTAAAATGCTGCCCAACCCAAACCGGTTTAATTGATGGGATGCTCTTGTGGGCCCCTACAATATGGCCTGCCTGTAGGCTACATGCAGGCCAGTGTTGAATTTCTAAGTCTGATTGTGTTTTTGTTTTTTGATGGACTATGGAGGAAGTTTTTGGCTTGTCAACAGACGTGAGGGCAGGCCACCAGCTGCTGCAACCCTACAGATCAATTTCAAATAATACTAATTAAAGAAAGACACTCTTCTTCTATCTTCATTTCCCTTCACAAACAAATCACTCCAAGAAAAAGAAAAACATCTTAATTTGCATGTGCACTGCTTCACCCCTCATCCAATTATCTCTCAAGCACTACCAGCATAATGGGCTGGGTTGAAGTAATCCCAGTCTTTAAACTGGGATGCATTCAAACAATCTACAATTGGTAGATTCCAGCCCATCAATAATAAGTCCAAGGCAGGAGGTACCTTTAATTGGCTGACATGATCAACCCATTTCAAATTGGTTGTAATATGCATCCCAGTTTAACTGGGATACCCTCACCCCAGACAAATCTCTCTCTTAGTAATGGGCTTCAAAAAAAATTGAACTTTTTTTGGTGCTTCTGAACATCAGAGTTTGAAATAATTGTTTCCTGGATACTAATGAAAAGGAGCACCCTCAGGAGGCCTGAATCATGAGTGCTACATCAACTCACCTCCCTTTTGCTACAGGTTGTCAAAGTGTTTTTTTTTTGACCAACTAGATAGCCCAGACTACAGAGGCTTGATCAAACCCTTTCAGCAACAGTGCAACAGAGACGATACGAGACGGTATCAGGCGTTTATTTTTATTGTCTCAGAATTTGAATACCCAAAAATACCACCAACCAAGAAAATAATGATACCGGTATCAGGCTCACAATAAAGACAATACGATCCAATACAAATACATGTCTCGTATCTGTTGCACTGTTGCTTTCAGGATGTTCAGGAAAAGAAAAATTTTCCCCGTATTGTAAGCACTTGTGAGTTCCACAAAGTTTTGCTTCTGTTTATAAGGCGAGAACAAGGATAAAAAAATGAAAATGAAAATTCCCCCAAGGAGAGACTACATTTCCAATGAAGATGAAGGTATCTTTTATAGTGTAAAAAATATGTATAATCTTGTGTTGGTGAGAAAACATGGAAAACTGGGCATACGAAACTATATTCAAACTAAATCTCAATATTTGAAAATATGGATTTTGGCACATAATCCATTGTGTAAACTTAACAGCTTATAGCAAATCCCAACTGTGAACAAACAACAACAATAGATTCCTTTCTCATATTTTACCCAGCTATAAGAGTCTTCTCCATCTTCTCTTCTCACACATCCTTCCATCCATCTCAACATCTCAACCCACACACACATTCTTACACACACACACTTACACCCCCCCCCCCTCACACAAACAAACACAAAAAAACCAATTTGTCTTCAAAACAAAAGAACCAGAAACCTAACACCAACTCAAAAAAGCAACAAAAGATTATGTACAACTAATGAACAAATGAGAAAAAAGAGGGTTGTATGTATGTACAGTACACAATCAATCAATCAATCACTCACTCCAAAAAGGTGAAGAAGAGAATATGTAGAAGGAGAGAGGACAAAGGGCATACATGTATATCTTGAGGGGATCAGATTCATTGATGGAAATTCTAAGGAGGACGGTCTCACCTTGTACATTCATACAGATACATAAACACATTGTCATGCATCTTCCTTCTTTCTTCCTCTTTTCTTCTTAATATATATCAAAAAAAAGGTGATCTTCATTTAATTTAAGTTTTATTTTTTAAGAAAAATAAAGTTTTTCATATGAATTTTTTTTTTTTGGTAAGTTTTTTTTTTGTTGGAGTGTATGTATGTTTTTGATATGTTAATGAATGAAATAAGAAAAAAAAGAAGGAAAGAAGGAAAGAAAGAAAGAAAGAAAGAAGAAAGAAGAAGAAAAAGGAGGTTTTTATTTATTTAGAAAACAAAAAGAGCTATGTACAAAAACAAGGGGAAGAAGAAAGAAGAATTAGCCTTTTCAGGATAAGCAAAAGGCGAGAGGAAGGAAAGAAAGAGAAGGGAAGACGGACGTTATTAGTAGCAGCGATAGCTATAGTATCTTCTCTAGGATGCCAAGAGGCGTGCATGATGCGTTTACCGAAGTCGATATTTTCAGTTTCCTGGATCTTAGGATTAGGCACATTAGTCTGTCCGGCGGCATTCCGCGATCCCGGATGACTCCCTCCTGCTCCTCCTCCTGCTGAGGAGGCGCCGATCTTCTTGGCCTTGAAGGCCGACTTGTCGGCTTGTAAGACGATGTCCGTCGTCACTTCTTTGTCGTAGATGTGGAAATAGTTGTTATATGATCCCGATAAAATATGACTTGTTTTCCCCCAAAGAGATCAACATCAGACGAATTCTGGATAGTCGATTTTTTTTTTTTTTTTCAAAATAAAAGAAGAAGAAAGGACTAACTTCCGTCGCCAGAAAACGTGCCTTCGAACTTATCGAAGATACAATCATTCTCATAGAGGTCGCACAATTTGCCCTTCAGATGATCGTGGACGGAGATCGTCTTGAGCGGGGCTTTGTCCATGTTGATGTCCCCAGATCCGCAGATAAAGATAGTCTCGTGACAAGATGTAGCGCCCATCTTTCGAGAACTTCACATCGGCCACTGACGAGATTATCTCGGAGAAGAACGACTTATTCGACGGATCTTCTTCCTCTTCATACACTATTATTGAATATAACTCGTCAAGAATTATGATATAATTTTTATAGTTGAACATGAAGTGACTCACGTTTTGCATGAGTATCACAAAGTGCTGAGCTCCTCATGTCGGCCAATTTGACGGTCCCTTTGGAGCTCGAATAGCAGAACAAGTTACAGGAGAGGGGATGGAAATCAGCAGCGGTGATGACCTCGGTCAATTCTTCCATATTAGCCGGTTTGATATCCAAGATATCTATAAGGCAAGGATCAGATTAGTGGGATGGCGACAAGAGAACAATCGAATGGTTTTGGAAGGAGAGGGGACGGACTGAAGCTCTGATCAGAGATCGACAGGTTCCATAAATTGATACGTAGATCATCGGCGCTGAGATACGTTTCACCATCCGAATTGATGCTGATCGAGTTGATATGATAGGCGTGCGCGTTAGCATAGACCTTGCGCGGGACGGCGGCGATGATGGTGTCGTGGAAGGCCATCCGGGGCAGCTTGAGCGTCGGCACCGGTTGCGGCTGAAAGCCCGCCGGCATGTGGTTGTTCTCCGCCACCACTTTTAATGACTTCTCGAACACTTTCCATAATTTGATCGTCTTGTCTGTGTTCATTCATTCATTTATTTATCAGTTCACAGTCACAATGTTTATGTTTCTTTTTCTGGAAAAAAAAAAGAAAAATTGTTTACCATTTGTCGAAAGTAAGAAATGGGCCGAGTTTTGCCGTTTACACCATCGAATCTTGTTGATCTTTTCCTCGATTTCCAATGACTTTAAGTAATCAAACTCAGGTTCATGGGATTGAAACTCGGTATAAAATTTATATTCGCATCCTTTTTTTCCGGACTGAAAAGATGTTTTGAATGAATGTGAGTGAGATAAGTGATAGATAAAAGGAAGGAGGAGGACTGACTTCGTTACGTTCGAATAGGACTACTCTTCCACCTTTATCTCCCGTAGCTAGATAGTCACCAGTATGATCGAACTCGACCGTCGAGATAATATCCGCCTCGGTGATGTCTTCCACTTCACCCTTGTCGCCTGTTGGTGATTTTTTACAAAATCAAGAAGACCCCACCAAATCGATCGTCAATTTCTCTCATTCATTCAATAGCAAGTAAAAACAAGACGGAAGATGTTAACGATCGGATTTACCAAAACATTGCGCAAACCTCCAGCCGGACGAGTCTCCATCCAATACATGCTGAGGAGGAGGGGTAGCCATGAGAGAGGAGAGAAGGAAGTAACGAGATGAGCGTGACGGGGTTCTGGTCGAAGATCAGAGAGAGTGTTGATGGTACGAGTTGTTGTTGTTGTTGTTCTTCTACTTCTTCTTGATTGATCAAAGGTTTGGTGATGATAAGACACACGTGAATGGTCTATGTT